GGTATACTACTTACTTTAAGTTTATTAGTAATCATTCTTATTTCGTGTGCAATACTTACTTTAAGTTTATTAGTAATCAGGAGGTGCTCCCGCCCAAATGTAGGAAACACTATTCTATTGAGACTAAGGAAGTTATTAACAATGTTTACTTGACTCTCAATAAACGTGGTGCTAGCAAACAAGCATCTTTAGAAGAAACGACCACATTGGCGAAAATTCCAACATCAACTGTATGGAAAATTGTAAATAATCCCATTTCAGCGAGGAAAAAAAGAAACGATGCTGACAGTCGTGACATAAAAGCAACAATCCAAAACTACATGTATAATAACGATATTTATTTTCATGAAGATTATGCCAAAAAGCAATTAATTGAGTTTATACAAAGCCTGAACCTACAAAAGGAATACGTCTGTGATAACTATGCAAAAAATTTAGGGCATACAGTTTTAAGGCTTCCACCTTACCACTGTATATTTAATCCCGTTGAGCATGTTTGCCATCAACTGAAATCTGCAATTCGTCCTAACAATGTTTTTTCCCGTGTTAACTCCAATGTCCTCAACTTATAGACCGCTCGCATCGCTCCACAAAATTGAGTCAATTCTGTTAAACATATAAAAAAAGCAGAACAATCGTATATCTATATTGCAAGTAATATAGAACAAATAATAATTAGAACAGGCGATGATAGCGATAGTGATACTGACATATGTAAATAGTTTTAAGTAATTTAAGTGGGTAATAATGGTGTAATTTTATTTTAGATTTCAACATAAATACATACATAAATAAATAAATATTGTTTAGTATCTTTCCTAACAAAACCGCAAATAATTAAATTCTAAAAAAAATACTTCCTTAATTCGAATCAGTTAGTCACTTTCTTATACCTATGAACAGACCTTATATAATATAGCAAAAACATAGAACAACCTAACCTAAAGAATCCTAAATATAGCAACTTAAATATAATGATATATCTTGAACTAAACTCTAAGAGAATAACTAATATTTGACAGGTTTTTTGTAATTCTTTGGTGAAAGTAGAACTTTTCAACTAAGCAACTATTGAATTCTCACATTCTTTTGATGTTTGTGATGTGTTTGCCTTCTTATCCGCATCTGAAAATATTTTAGTTTCAAGAAAGACAGCTGTTGCATATCCGTACTTTATAAAAAAAATTAAAAAGAACGAGACTGGTATCTTATATGCTTAAAAAACAGATTTAAAAAATCCCTACATCCGTCTTTTAAGTAAAGGCTTGATTTGACGCTGATAGTACTCTCATGAAAGTGATCTTAGATGCACGATGATGTAGGTATACATTTATGTATTTCATTTTGTTAAATGCAAACCTCACTAAACTCTCATCGGTAAGATCTCTTTCATCAGAGTAGGTACTACAGCGAGCAAAAAAACTAGAACAAATATGACTTTTCAGTTTGACAGTAAAGGCAATCTTTTTTTTCAACCTAAAAATTTTCCTAGTTTGTTTTGCTACTATCACCATGAAAACAAGCCTTAAAAATAGGAAAAAGGTTTTCATGAATTAACCCAACAACCATTTTAATGTGAACATTGTACTTTATGCAGGGTGATTCCTAAAATTAATACTTTGTTTTTGGGGGGTAATTCTTTATTGTTATTTATTATTGTTAATTTATAATTAATTCACTCATTGTTAATTTAAATCACAGTAAGATCACGTCAAGTGGACCCCCATTTACCACTTGATCATAAAAATTTAATCTATATATATTTTTTGTTAGTACTTATGATGGAAAATTGTTCGCCCAAACGATTTTTTAAAATTTTGATTTTAACGTTTTTTTTATAATGAAAATTTTAAGCACTTTTAATTAAAAAAATGGAAATTATTTGTTTATTTTCGTATTGTTAACTAACTTTTAAGTTAACAAATTAAAATTGAACTGATTTCTTGGTAAAAAAAAAACATTTTTTTTATCGGTTTATCGGTTTAAGATTCCGGAAGAAAATTTCACTGCTCGTCATTAGTTTACACAAAATGAATTTAGTTATGACAGCGCACCGGGCGGCGAGCTCTGTGGAAGCTGTCTCGAACGCTGCCGAGCGTCTCGAACAGAATTGAAGGTTTATCAGTGATAATTTAAAATAATAATACAAAATATTATTATAAAACATATTTTGTTATTATTTATGTTATTTTACTATAATAATTATTAATAAAATTTTATTTTTTTTAACAACAATATAAAGAATACAATCATAACATACTGAATAGAACAAACAAGCTTAAATAATTAAATTGTAAATTTGTTATTTTGTTTATTTATTGTTTATTGTTATTTTTATTTTTTTTTAAAGCTTTGTTAATCCTCTGAAACAAGCCTGCATTCTGGTGAAAAATTTTGCATTGGTTTGTAAAAATGAAATTGGCGAGTATTTTTCATTGTAGTTAAGCGTTCGAATCGTAGTTGGTATTTTTTTTTCATGTAGCTCACGAACTTTAATAGTACAGAAAGCAAAATTAATTTTTTGAAAAGAACTTTAGGCCTACTGAAAAAAGGAAAGTGGGGTTGTTATGTGGTTGTTTTTATCACGTTGGAGACTAGCACGATAAGCTTGTCTTTTTACACACCCTGCTAAGCCATCACACGCACCTCTGCCATGAGATGTAGCGGAAAAAGTAAAATCAGCATCAACACCAAAATCATTTTTATGATTAACTAAATTTGCAAAATTATATTTATTTTTATATTGTGAAGCTGCTCCATCGTAAAAATACTTGATTTTTTTAATTTTATTGTCACCAAATTTAGTTTTCAAAAATTCTATCAATTTATTATTAAACAAATGTACTGAACTTGCATCGTGACTAACTTTTTCTGATATCACAACAAAATTTTCGTGCTTCATTTTTCCTATCACATTACTGTGATTGAATAGCATCTTGAATAAAAAAGGAATAATTTTCGGAAAAATAGAGACATACTATAAACTATCCATGATCAACAGATTCTCTTTGTTTAGAGAAATAAGACGCTTGAGACTTAGACACAAATTCATGCTTTAACAGCTGGGACCATTTATTTCCCAACTCAGCCAAAAAATCTTCCTTTCAATACGTAGCTTCAACGATTTCAGTACTGCAAAATTTCAAAAGAATATATTAGATAATAAATTGTGTATAAAAAAGAATCATTAGACAAATTGACGAAATTAAATTATTTATATTTCACCCTTTTCCTTACCTGTATGTACTTTTCCATTGACTGAACGATATTTCCTTTATTTCGTGGCTTTCAATTAATAATTTTAACTTACCAATAAGAGCATTAATTTCTGGACACTTTTTGCAGGTCGAAAAAAAAAACATTATGTAGGTTGTGTGCAAACAGAGCTTTGAATCAAGTCATTGGAACTTTCAGTAAAATCAACACTTTTTTTTTAAGTTCATTTTTTAGTCCATGTATTTGTAATTTTACGTTTTGGTGAATTTTGCATACACATACATTTTTTTTTTTTGAAATTTTTTCTGTCCCATTTTTTCATCAGGAAATTTTCCTTTAAATTTTTTATATAAATTATGTATGTTAAATAATAAGAGTCTCTTTTGTTTCTGTGTTTTTTTTACCATTTTCCATAACTGTAACATAATCTTTAATTCCAGGCATCACACGGCTAAGATCATCTGATAAATAAAAATTTTTCACTCAATCAAGTGTTGGATTGTCCAGATTTTTGCCTTTTTTCGGATCAGGCTGTGACGTAAATTCTGATTTTTTTCTAATATTTTTAGCAGCTTGTACCATTCTCTTTGACACTTTGAACTCACGTCGTATCATTTTGATGGACCAATCCAGCGGAAGAGTAGTCAAAACTTGGATTTTCTCAGATCCACTAGTTTTTTGATCAAAAGTAGACTTGAAATTATTTAAAAGAAAGTCACTAGAGTTATTATCAATAATATCATTACCACTCATTTTTTTTACAGAAGTGAAAATAGGTTTCTGACACTCAGCAACACTTGACACTCGTCTCAGTTTCATCGGTGGTTCACCAACTTCCGACAGCAATTTATTAATATTTTCAATTTTCAATTGATTGTCATAGCATTATACTTGAAAGTCGGATCTTTCTTATCATCATCTGTAATTTTATCTACTTCTAGCTCAGTCGTACCAACAATAAGATTATTATTTACAGGTTTATTTCATGTAGTTTTACGTATCTCAGGTTCGCGGCCGAGATAAATTACCGTTGCACAAGAATTGCACATATAATTTACTATAAAGGCTCTGAATTGGCAAGCACGATTAAATTAATTAAAACTAATTTTTTAATCACATAATTGTGATTTTTTTTATTTAACGGATTGCAACATTTATTCGCTCGGCCCATTTTAAATCACAGAAAATATTATTATTATAATTAAAAATTATAATACTAAAAAAACGCAGCTCAACAACACTTCAGCTTCTATTTTTAATAATTATTTCATGCATTGCGTATAAACTTATGTCACAAATAGACAGGAGTGACTTCTAAAATGATTTTATTTAGTCGGATAACCGAAAAACAAATGAAAATCGTAACGGGGCGGTTTTTCTTTTGTTAACTAAAGATGGAGTGTTGATTAGTAAATTTAAAAATAATAATTTACTAAATTACCTAGAAAAAATAAATATAGACCATCACAGTTTTAAAAATTTAAAGTTGATTATTTTTTTCTAAATTTACACTCTTTGGTAAAAATAATTTAAAAAATTGATAGTATTCTTTATAACATTGCTAAAAAAATAAATTTTTATTAATAATAATTATAATAAAATAACATAAAAAATACTAAATTTGTTTTATAATAATATTTTGTATTATTATTTTAAATTATCACTGATAAAACCTTCAATGCAGTTCGAGACTCTCGGCGGCCCGGCGCGCTGTCAAAAATAAATTCATTTTGTTTAAACTAATGACGAGCAGTGAAATTTTCTTTCGGAATCTTAAACTTAAATGGATAAAGACCGATAACAATTAAAGTCCAATGCTTTGGAAAAGGTTGGAATATCTCTTGAGATGCTTAGACTGTAGTCTTCAACAATCGTGCCCCTGTTAACATGCCTTTTTAATTCGTTCATTGAGAAAAGAGTATTTCCTGTGCCATGGAAAGTTGCAATAGTTTCGCCTTCAGCTAAAGAGAGTACTCCAAATAATTTTAGACCGATTGGCAATAGTGTTTCAAATGTTAATTTACGGACAAATAATTCATTATTTTGATACCAATGCCTCTAAAGCCAAACTATGAAAACGCATGTATTTATTTATGATATTTGTAGTAAAATTTGCCTTATTGTAAGTTGAATTATAGTTTTTTTTTCACATGCTCGATTAGCAGCTCTTCGCACTTCGCCGAGTGAACAATAAAGCCGTTCTCATTTATTTATTGTATTAAATAGGTATATTACTTTAAATGATAATTCAGTAAACAAGAAAATTAAAAATAAAACAGTTTCAATCAAGCTCTAAAGAAGTCAACAGGATGATTGGCGAAACGTCAGCAAGTTCGACTTAGCAAAAACCGATGCAGGAGGAATCCAGAAGTTTTGTAAAAAGTAAGAATGTTCAAACTCCTTTAACACGTCGAAACTGTCAAATTTAAAACATTTCTCAACTAGTCTTCTCAGTTCACCCTCAGTCTCAAAAACTCGCTGGCAATCATAATTTTTGCAATATCTGCCTATAAAAAAATCGAGTGAAGTGAAGTTCAGCGAACGAGGGGGCCACGAAACTGCTGAATGGATATCGCGCATGATTGGGGCATTGTGCGCGGGTCCAGCGTTCTGTTGAAACCATATAGCTACTAGACATAGAGGCCCTGCCAATGCTAATAATGCAGAAACTCGTGAAGCAACGATGTAATAAAATTTCCAGAGGGTCGGGTCGATATGCGCATGCGCGAGATTCCAAATTTCGTTTATAACCAATGACATGCGACGCATAAGGCAATGCTAACCAACATGGCCGCGGGCAGATCTTCAATGTTAGGATGCTGCATTTTTACGGCAGTATTTTCTCAAAATATGTCGAAATCCCATTAAATTTTCGGGCAAAAAAGGAATTAAAGTGCGGAAAGAAGTTAAAAAATTAGCGACAAGTGCACAGTTAATATTATGCTGAATTGCAGCACGCAGGTCGGCGTCCTGGTATAATTCTGTAACTATTTTAGCGTTTTGGTTCTTTAAGGCCTATAAACGGGATACTGAATTTGTGCTCGTAAATCCGCGCAAACAGTTTGTACCCATAAACTTATTGGTTATACCTCTATTGAAAATGTAAATAAAGTCGAATTCCCTAAATGTGACTCTAAAAGTGTAAATATAACTTTGATACCAGATATCGCTCTGGAAACATCAAGTGGAAAAAATGTTCAACAAGCGCTTCGTGTAGAGAGACGGTTATTCTTTCATCGCAAGTCTAGTAATTACTGACAGTTTCGCCTGCCAAATATAGAGTAATGAAAAGTCTCAATGGACAATTTCGTTTACAAACTGTAGGTATTGGAAAATGTATCTAATAAAGTTAAAAACTAGTATAACTAGTATAAAATAAGTCAATAAACAATTAGTCCTAAATGTAACAAAATTAACATTACCAAACCCTAAAAAGTGTCGTTTATTGTCTCAGAATTTAAAAAAACATTTTGCTAGCAATAATTGCATCGTGGCTACCGCAAAAAAATCCCCATTAAAAATATTTAACAGCAATTATTATCCGCTAAAAATACATGCAGAAATTGTGTCTACTCGGCTTTAGATACTAGTATCAATTCATACAATAATTTAACCATATTTTATTGCAATCTGGATTCAAATGTAAATAACTAAAAATTACTTTTCCAGAAATGCTTGGAATTTTTTAAAACTATAAGCTCATGTGAAATATTCTATTAAGAAATATTTTTTTCCAGATGCACTCTCCAGATTTGTTTTGTGGACAAAATTGTGGTTTATGGCACAACTACGACTTACTTTTTATATAGTCGTTTTGAAATTCACAGAAGATATAGTGACATGTTAGAGAACGAACACAATGTAAAAATATAAATGAATAATATAGGAATTATTTAATAAGCCCTTTACTAAAAAGAATAAAAAACATTGTTGCTTGTTAACGCAATAGGAAATTAAAAAAATATATATGCTGCCTTTTTTAATAGCATAACATTTACACAATGGCGTCCAACAAAAAATGCTTCGGTCTTACTCTTTTCAAGAACATTTATATTACTTGATTTGAGAGGATTACCACCTTTATTACTAGAATAACTGTAAATTCGAAACAAAATTTAAGTCAGAAGCACTTTACTTGTTGTTAAAAACTTCTGGCTGCTGATTGTTGTGTGCCAGCCTTCAATATGACCTGTAACGCTGAAGATTAAAGATCTGCTAGTGTCTGCTCTAGTTTTACCTAGGAAAGAAATTATTATTTTGACTTGAAATAAACCCCAAACACGCCCCCTATCAAGAAAAATTTCTCTTATGTTCAAGATGGAAAATTTTCAGTCACAAATTATGCAGGAAAAATATCAATATTTTAGACCAAAAAAAAATTGGTAACATATTACAAACAAAATAATATTTTTGAGGAATGTGGAATTATTTGATAAATTTTATCATGAGAAAAAGAAATTTTAGAAAAAAAAGGTACCATTTGGCACTGTAAGTTTGGGCTGTTAAGTACCATTGACAAATAGAATGACCAGAAAACAATAAGTAACCCGATTTACAACTGATCACCATATGTTCCTAAAAGACTGCCTACTTTATCGACAATGTTATCCATTGTTTCTTTACAATTTCATCTTTTGGGATAAATGATTATTATATCAAAACTAGCAAATAGACATATATGCAAGTCTACAAAAAAATGGGATAGAGAACATGGATCAGTCTAATAACTGGTCCAAAAACTTGTACTAAATAGTTATTCACAAAAGGAAGGTAGGTGATACTTACGAGTTGAGGACATAGCTTACTCTCGAGCCAAGCAAGCATTGGGAAAATAGTTGGAGGCTAATCAAGATCTCTTCTTCCAAAGTTGTGCATATAATATTTTTCTTACTCAAGTTGTCCCGAATCCAACAAGCAGATTTACAAAGTCAGTATTTATTGATATAACTGTTTCTATTTTATCAGTGTCAAATTGCGTGTGTAAGTACTGCAGTATTCACTTACCTCCAAAAGGAGGTAGGTGACCTACAAATACCCATAAATTTTGAATCGTTGCATAGAATTCCTGGTAATTCTCGAAAATTTCCTGCAATGCCTTTAGACTTCAAAAAATATCCTGCAGATTTATCATTTAAATTTTTCCTCTTGCAGCTGAACTAATTCTGGTAACTCCCCACTTTCTGAGTAATGACAAAAGAAAATTTTCCTACATTGAGTTTTACAAGGATTTTTAATTGTCAAGAGGTATTTCATGTGATTGTTCTAGTAAAACTTGCAGCTTAATTGTTTTCTTATATTTCCTGTAATTCTTGTACACTAAAACATATTACCCAAACATTTTTCCTATGTAGCTATTTAAGTGTACCATGCAGTTTCTTAAATCACTCGGGTTTGTCTAAGATCGTATTAGGTTGTAATTTCGTGAAGGAGCAAGTATTAAAAGCACAAATTATACATGTGTGTGAGTGGGAGCCCTATAGAAACCACTTTTAAATCTTTTAAATTAACTTGTACATAAGGCAATACTTACCAGTATATTTTACAGTTTTGATCACAAACACAAGTTTTTCACAAAAATACGAAAAATGTGCGGAGAGTATCATAACCACAAAGAATGTAAACAACAATGGCACAGACTGTTAGTATTCCCTGGCAATAGCAATTCCTAGCTCGACATTGCCAATTATATTCGTATTTCAGAGAGAGTATTTTGCGTTCTTATGAAAATTAGTCAATTTTTTTTGAAAAATTACGGCAATGTGACAACTCAGTTCGATAGGGGTGACCCATACAAAAAAAAATTACACCTTCCCTACGAAAATAGCATACCACCTGCGACGCATAACTTTTTACTTTAGTGGGGCCACTATATGGCTTATAGTTATATGGTTAAAACCAATTAAAACCAATAGTTTCGAAGCGGTAAGTTGTCCAAAGCCTTTTCGATGTCGTGCTCCAGAAGGTTGCGATAAAGCTCAGACTTAGGAGAAGCATTAGAAAATAGGTCTATTAAATGTGTCCCAAAAATCCCAACAAACACATTAACCCGTGTTAGATGATTATCTTGTGCCAAATAATAAGCGTTTCTCAGGTTAAAAATACAGCTTCATCGGCGCTACTCTAGCATAAGATACAACATTTTACTATACCGAAATTCTCAGATGAAAAATCAAGATCCATTTTGTATAGCCAAAAAAAAAAACAACAGCAAAAAGACGCAATAACAACGTTAAAAAACGGCTTGTACCAATATGTCAATAAAATTATTTTGACATTTTTACTACACCAAAACATTGAAAGATAACAACCGTTTTTTTTTTTATTCAATTCAAATGCTATTTAATAGATGATGTAGATTTCAAGGACAATTTGAAAAATAAAGTTGATGGCGATTTAGCGGAAACGAAATCTCGTACTTAAAATACTGCTGTATGTGATTGATTGCCAAGACTATTGGCTGGCCAATCCATAGTTCCGCCGTTCCCTATCCAACCCCTGGGATATTCTACGTTAACCAAATTTTTAACTTGCACAACATTGTGAACAGGGGCACATTCTTGCTGCCATATAATCAGCGCTGATATATTTTGCGGTAAATCTTCTATATATTGTTCCATTTCGTGCTCTAAGGGTTGTAAATAATGATATCCAGTTAACTATCGATCTATAAATATCGGACCCAAAATGTGCCCATGAATGACAGCATATCATATATTAATTGATTAGAACCCCTAGGTTTTTATTTCGTGTATTTGTCTCAGATTATTTAAAGACCAATTATCTCGTATTGGTGTTCCTTGTAGTGAACCAACTTTCATCAGTTCCTGAAATGTTTTTCAAAAAATTATTATTCCCATTATGTCTATTTAAAAAAATCCAAACAAAACCGCATCCTCCTTTGACATTGTTCTGTACTTAGTTTTTGAGTGTCTCTTCATATATTCTAGTAATAGAGGAAACTGGATGTGCTTCATAGAATCCTAATATGTTTGCCTTATTTTCTTCATTTAAAATATTATGATTCCGACATACCTTTTTAGCTTTTAATACGTTACCGTTAAAGTCTAATATACTGACGACGAGCTGTGGTTGCACTTTTATTATTCAGAAAGTATACTTGAAGCAGATGCTAAATTCGGTTAAAACGCATTTTAACAATAATGACTTGGACATTAATTCGATAATCAATGTTGTTTACTAATATATCAAATATCAACAATTTTATTTTTATTCGTCAGTCAGGGCACTCTTTGAAATTATGTAACAATTTCCTATTTTTGCCGATTTGTCAAAAACGAGTGGACTAAAATATAAAGTGTACAGGGTGTTACATTAAAAAAATATATGATGTAGGCTTATATGTCAGAAAATTGATAGTGTTTTGTTTGGAACAAAACTTGGCTACAAACCCTACATTTTGTTTTATTGTTTACCTTGGTATCTCTAAAAACAAAAAAGTTACAGTCCATTAAAATGTTATCAAGATAAATTGAACGTATGGTATTTGTATATTTGCAAAATTTAAAGTTTTTGATATATTGGCAATTTAAACATTTTCCGTTGCCTTTTTTTTTTGTGAAACAGCGATCTGCACACATTTTGTTCGTTTTTCCCTGAACATTTAACCTGATTTGGGGATGTCATGAGAAACTACTTAATGATATAAACTGCAAAATGACCGCGCATGCGCTTATTCAACATCCCTTCTCAACATTTTTTTCATTGTCGTTTCCAATGTCCTTGTATTATCAGCATAGACAGGATATAGATTTGTTCAGAAAGGATAGTTTTATGCATATTTGAAAGCAGCTTTTCATGTTGTTCCTTTGCAAGCAGTCAAGGCGTTTTGTTTTTGGCTTTTGCTTTAAGAGTAGTTTTTTAATGCGCATGATTGGACCAAACCCGTTTTGTAGGGTGATTAAGCACATTGCCACACAACCATCAAGACACGTGTGCTGTTAATAGTGCTTGACAATCGTATCGCAAGTATAGAATAACAGAGAGTTCATGTTCAATTCATATCAGCCATGAATCGTATATGATAACGGTTTTGGACAAAACATTGGCACGCGAAAGACTGGATACACTGTAGCCCCTTTAAAACTTGCAATTGGAATATGAGATTCTATTTAGGTTGAGCATTCATTTTTACAAATATAAATGATCGAATATCGAAAATAAAATACAATACTAAGTGCAAAGCAAAATATCAAATAAACTTGTCTAAAACGGTATAGTTTGTTACATTCGTATAGTGTATCACTTATGAACTGCGGATAACTTTTACAGCCCAAATTTGTTGATCACTGAATCATGCCATGATGGAAACATAAGTATACGCGCCTTTGAGTACCTAAATATAACAATAAGTAAACATAATATAAGAAGAGATAAAAAGATGGAGGGAAAACAAAACACAAAACATAAAATTATATGGATGCAAAGAGTGAATAGTTCATTAAGAGATGAACCTGTAAAGAATATCAAGAACACTTAAAAACTTAAGTTTACTTTCACAAGATTCGCGCATGCTTGTAAAATAACTTATTGCTGTATTTACAGGACGTTTGTATTTTCGTTGACAAGTAACAACTTTCCATTTTTAAATACGACCCTCTGTATATTCTGTTATTTTATTGTTATAACATTTTCAAAATTTTCGAAACTTTCTAGACATACTTTATAATATCCTAAATTTAGGTTTTACCGTTTTCGAATTTTATGTCAAAAGTGATGTTTGCAGCTTTAAATCTATTTTTTATATATTTTGGTTAGGTTGTAAACAAATATTTTGATATTTTATAAATTAATCAAAGACTAATATTAAAAATTTGAATAAAAGAATAGTTCAAAATCATAATGTTCCGTATTTGAAAGAGTTGCACATTTTGAAATATACCTACAACAGGTGGTGCAGAGCTAAGGGCCTGTTAGAAATACCTGGCTAAGGGACCAACGGATTTAGGTCAAATTATAGAATGTCCCCACACTACTTACGTCTAAGAGGTGCTTCATTTATAAAAAATATTTTCTAGTATTGTGTTGCCGCTTCTGTATAAACGTGGCAATATTTTTCGATTCTACGCAATAAATAAAGTAGATTTTGTATGGGTTTCCGTGAACGAAATAAAAAGGCGAAATCTCAATAGTTCCGTGATTTAATTGAACACAACCGAACTTTTGCAGACAGTTCAGTTATTTATTCCTTGCATATTTTAGATGAAGCATACAATGTGTTTTAAAAGTAAGATTTTGTACGAGAAACACGGTTTAATGAATTTAAGAAGTTACGTTACCTAATTCCTACCAAGATGCCATTTTTGTCGGTTTTTGTATATCTGGATATTGTTCAGTAAATGTCAAAATGTTTTAACCTTTCAAAATTTGTTTCATTGTTGAACTTAACTAACTTTTATGTTCATAATTTACTTAATACATAAATACATAAATCATATGAGGTTCTGAGATCTGTCATCTCGTAATCAACGGTCCACCCATTACTTTATCAATATTGCAAGTGTTTTTAATTGGCGAATGCATATCTCATCATCGTTCAAAGATAAACTCCAATTTGTACTTACTGTTACAGCCGACTCAAGTGTCATTTCGTCAAACGGACCTTTAGTCATCCTTAAAGGTTTTCTGGTTCGCATCATCATTATAAGCAATATACGCTTCGCTTCTTCACTTTGATCATACCACGAAGTATCGTACATCGCATCTGATATTGCCATACTCTGCAGAAACAGGGCGTTAAACGAAATCGATTTAAGTAACCAAAGACGAATTTCATTCATAATTAGATTCTAAAATATACCTGTAGCTTGATTTCGTTGGAACTCCAACCCAATGCAAGAATGTAAACAACAAAAGCGCCAGAAAAGAACACCCTGCCAATTCGCATGGTGGGAGTGTCATCCTGAAAATGGAATTTAGAAGATAAGGTGCCGAATTAAGAAAAAAAACTATATCAAGTATCAAATAAACAACTTATTTTTGCTTACCTGTAAAAAGCGAAGTGCTACAAGAGCTATATTGAGTGATATGGTCGAATACTCTATCAAAATGAGATACTTAAGTAATTCATTTAAATTTTCTAAAAACCTAAAATTATGGCAATTATGAAAATTGCTTAATGTGAATGTGATTCAACAATTCCTTTCTAGTATAAATACAAATACCTTATAAATTGCTGATGTTCCTTTGCATTCTTTTTCAAAATACTAACAGCTTCTTGATCCTTATGCGCCATTTTGCGCAATTTTATTTGAAGGGCTTTTATCATTGACAAAGCAAACATAATACAAGACAAAATAGCATTAGTTGAGAGACTAAATGCCAACAATATAAAGGCTCCGATATATTCGTAAAGCATAATAATGGTTTCATATTTTATGGGATCCACTTTATAAAGGTAGACTTCATATATCAACGGCTTTATTAAAGTTTCGTTGTACATGTCATTGTATTGCTTGACGTTAATTCTGGCCAGTGTGTTTTCGATCAGAGCGAAACAAACATATAGCAGCAAATAAAATAAAGCCAAAATCGTATTCACGCTATTGCAAAAGTTTACTTGCTCCAAATGTGCATCTAATATGTCCCGGTCCTTTGATTTGTTCATTTTTTCTTCTTCGTCTTCAACAAAAGCAAATGCATTTCGAACACCTCTTGTTTGGACGAGAGTGACCTTAAGTAAAATAACAAACATATTCATCAGGTATGAAAAAGCCGTGATCATTTTCTCAATTTCTTCCTGCGCCTTGGTTTTGTGACTTAGGCTAATCCCAACCCAAATGCACATGGACGTTGTTAAAAGCAATATAAATATGTGGATGAACACTGAGTAAAATTGGTACAATTTGGCGATTATTGCGTTTGATGTTATCTGATTTCTCCAGATACCAAATACTACCATGACAATTTTGGGGAATTTTAAAATTTGGAGTTTTTTCTTTGAATTAATACTGTTGTTTTTCATCATGAAATCAAATGATTTTATTTTAAAAATTTTGCAAAAATATGCAACTGATTTATCGCTTGATGCTCCGGGTGTTTGCACTCGGAGACAATACCGTTCGCTCCGCACTGAAGTGTTTTATAAACGCGTTTGCGAATAGGAATTATTTAGATCCCATTTTACAGAACCGGACGACGATGAAAAATGTTAAACGGTATAGTCGTTGCAGATCATCTGCAGATAAATTAAATAATTTATACGGGAGTTAATTATACAAACAAAACATAAGTAAAAAATCCACTCGTGCCACCCTTCAGTTAAACAACCGTTTTGAAGAAACTCCTTAGAACAATAATTCTTCGTACTATACAAAAAATAAGAGCACTTATTGGATCAACGGGTAAATGTTATTTATATACATTTCTCACTCTTATGTTCCCCTGATAATAAAACAGATGCGCCATATATTTCTGTCAAAATTAATTTTATTGTCCGATTCTGTGTCACAATATGGGAGTATGTTTTGCATACGTGCTATTTCCCGCATTCGTCATATTTTCTGGAATTTTTAATGTTGTCTGATTAATAGGTTGAAGTTTGTAAAGTAAAGGGAAACGTGTCACCAAATTCCCGTTGTCCGGATCGATCAAAATTATTTACGCAGCAGAAAATTTGTTGTCTTAAACCGCATTTTAGCTTTGGCCGCAGTAGTGATGTAGCATTTTAACTCGTTAAGAGTTGTTAGCAGAATAGGGCCTCCAAAAACTGGAGCCTGGGGTGCAAAATAACAATCAAAACTATTATAACACATTGGTTTTTATCAAAATCTTCGTTACTACCAAATTACCGGCTACTTTTACGCGAAACTTGGCATGGTAAGTATTCAAAATTTTCCTACCTTACTTCCTTTTTTAGATACAGCACACTTTTGTCCTGTGTATTCTGTGTAATGAATTTGCTTTGAATTGCTCGTACTTGCGCAAATGGTGGATGAGTTGCGTATAGGTAGGTCTTCAGGGGTATTATGCCGAGCACGAAAATTTTTTTTTCACATGTCCTCATAAAAAAGTAAATGAAGATAAATCAGAGTATCCAGGAGGCCCTAGGTGCAGCGTTGAGGGAAGTTTCCTTCTCCTGTTTCGTTAAAATGTGCCAGAGCAACATATTCCAAGAATTCTGGCTCATTTGTCACGCACGATTTGATACTTCCTTCAAAAAAATAATATTTTTGTTGATGTTCTTGGTATAAAACAATCTTCATTGTTGCTGGCTACTTATTTTTGTTTTTGTCACACCTATATAGCTATTAAACAATATACGGTAAAAATTGATTCGCCGCAAACGGCATTGATATTTTCTTCGAGAACGTAATGAAGGAACCTAGGAAACAACTATGAAAAAAATTTAGAGAAGAGTCATTCAACACGCGCATGCGCGAGATTTAAGCTAATGACCTTGCTTCATTCAGTGGCCCCACTAAGGAAAAATTTGATGCGTCGCAAGCGGCATTGATGTTTTCGTGGAAAAGTTAACGCTAACACTAACAAGATTGCATTCTAGCGCGAAACAGCTTTTTATTATAAAAGGAAAGAACTTCGCGGTTTCGTGTGGTAAAGGGACTCAATATTTTTCTATCTTGCTCCTGCGGACCACTATGAAACTTTCACAAAATCGATGCAATTTAATTGTGCATGCACCCTGTATAAATAAAAATAAAAAATAAATTTAAAAAAAGTGTCCTTCACCTCTCGTCGAACTTCAAAGTTACAGTAAACATCCGTAAATATTAAAATTTGCACAAATAATAGCGTTATCGAATGATATTTTTTCAAATATCTTGCGCCCTGTATAATTGACGAAACCTGAAACTCTCTAACGGTTTTTCATTTATCGCCAATACTTTACCCAGAAAACGGAAATTTTTAGGATCTTTTAGATTTTTTGTCCATAAACGACACACCCTATACATGATTCGAACAATGTTCGAAGAAGGGGTTATAGCGCTGGATCTTCCACGTTTCCTGGTCCAAAATTTTTTAAAAATAGTAAATGGTTTTCGAGAAAATAAGTTTTTTCTGAAACCATACAGTGCGCCGTAATAATCAATGACGTCATCGCGTCTTGACAGCCCCCGAAATAGCGATTTCAATATGGATTTTTTCAAATATCCCGAGAAGCGTATGTGATAGACAAAAACCGCAAATACAAAGACTGATGTGGCCTATGACATTGTTTTAACCTATTAGCCATATTTTCTACGGATTTTGATTTGCGGCTAATAATTTACTCTGTAAAAGAACAATTTTATAGGTCTTTTAGATTTTTGCCTATAATTTGGAAACCCTGTGTTATTGTACTGGATCTTCCGCATCCGCTGGCTAAAGAATTTGAAAATGTGATTGCACCCAATTTCTACCGTTTAAATGTAGAACACCCTGTACAATAGGTGAAAACCTTCAATACAAAAGATTTTGCTGCCTATACGTGGCTAAATCGAAATATAAAAGATAGTGAGATCTGATTCACAGTCTTTCAGTTATAACCAATTTTCAATAACAGGGGGACCCATTTTTTAATTTTTATGAATTTGCGGCGCACTCTGTATATTTTTGAAAAATTGTCAAGACCAAAAGTTTATGGAGCCGTATCTTCCGCATCTTCTGGTTCAAGAATTTTTTTGGTCTCATTAACGGTTTTTGAAAAATTATGTTTTTGTAAACTTTTGCACACGCTATTTTAATTTTTTTTAGAATACTTCCCGACCCCCCCATCTTCAATACGTTCCGTCACGGGGCAAAGCTGCATATATGTGCCGAATATAAAGTCGATTGCTTCAAATTTCAGTCACTTATCGTGTTTCATAGCAATGTCCAAAAAACAGTCGAAAATCGCGAAAAAAAGATGGATACCGGCGTCGGATCATAACCAAGGAGACAAATTTCAATTTTGTAGCTCCAACGGTTCGAAAGTTATTCAGGAAAAACCAAAAAACGAGAACGGAGAACGGACAGGCAAAAAAAATTTTTTTTCGACGGTGATCATTTCTCTACCAACGGGGATCTCATATGACCTATCGTTACCGAGATATAAACTTTTTATACGAGCTTCGAGGTGGCTCAGTATGTTGACCACCTCAGTCGCTTAACTTAAACCTACTAGATTATGATCTGTGGATTAATATGTGTAATTTTATTTATGCTACAGAAGTAGAAGCGTTACTAAAGCGACATTCAACTAATGGAAATGTGTGTGTGAAATTAATGCAAATTATTGATTTTTTCATTTTTAGTCAAACTTCAATTTTGAAGGCCTACTTTTCAATTTTTCTAAACAACGTATTTTAAAAATCTTCGAAAACAGTCCAGCCTGACGATATCATTCAAGTATACCTTTTTTGCGAAACGGGACGCAGCTTTTCGGATTTTATTAGAAAAATGTCTAAAAGTCAACTCAAAAAAAAAGTTTTTCCAATTTTTATTACCTTTAATAGGCAAAAATTTAACATTTGCATGCTAAAATTACTATAACTTTAAAATTTCAAAACTTTCTCTAAACTTGGCTACAACAGTTGGCTACAAATTCCAAACAGGGTTTATAAGCGATCTGATAGTAATTAACTAGGTCATGTGTTGCCCAAATGATCAGGAGCCATTGGCTCCACGACTTTCCCTTGCTAACAACCTGGTATCCTCAGGTTGGCTTGACTGACGGCTTGTCCTGCCACTCTATTGTAAAAGTAATTTATGACGGAAAAAATCAAATACTCCAAAATGCTATACGCCGCTATACAAAAAAATCTATGGTTATAATTTAAACACATATTTAAAAGGCCTTTATAAGCAACCAATGCATTTTCGGTTTTCTTTTTTTCTTTTTTTTTTTTGACAAAACCATCCGTCTGTGTGTCAAGAAAGTTTAAAGCTTAAAGTTCTTGAAAATCGTATCGCAAAAATAACTACTGGAGTGAGTATATAGTAAAATATTAGCTAAGTTTTCCACAAAATATTGACACTTGAATGATATAGATGTATTATGTTTGTCAAACATTTAGTAAGGTTGAAACCAATTTAAAGAGTACACATCTAGATGCTAACAAAAATTTGTATGTACCAAACATGCAATACAAAACTAAGTGCACAGGCAAATAGAAAGTAGACAAGCAGGAGATTCAAGAAAGTCAGTACAAAATAAATTCCAGAATTTCAGAATTAAGAAATATAGGAAATATTGATTTTAAACAAATGGTTTCAAAAGCAAAACTATTATAGGCGTAATTTGTTGATCACCGAATCATGCCATGATTGTCACATAAGTATACGCGCCTTTGAGTACCTAAAAATAACAACAACTTCATATAAGATGTACGTAAGAATCTTATTATTTTTGGCGATAACAATTTCTACTTACTGTTACAGCCGATTCAAGTGTCATGTCGTCAAACGGGCCTTTAGTCATCCTTAGCGGTCTTTTTGTTCGCATCATCATTATAAGCAATATACGCTTCGCTTCTTCACTTTGATCATACCACGGAGTATCGTAAATTGCATCGGCAATTGCCATGCTCTGTCAAAACATCAGTCTAAATATTTAAGATTTTAGATTCTAAAATTTACCTGCAACTTGATTTCGTTCGAACTCCAACCCAATGCAAGAATGTAAACAATAAAAGCGCCAGAGAAGAATATCCTCCCAATCCGCATGGTGGGAGTGTCATCCTGAAAATATAAGAGGCCTATAAAAACCTGGAAGTGTCAAATAGACACCAGGATTAAGTTATTTATGTTTTTAGTTTTGCTCACCTGTAAAAAGCGAAGTGCCACAAGAGCTATATTGAGTGATATCGTCGAATACTCTATTAAAATGAGATACTTAAGTAATTCATTCAGATTTTCTAAAAATCTAAAATTATGTCTAATATAAGTTAACGTGTCTTAAATGAAGCGCTAAACGTAACATCGATATGTCCTTTACCTTATAAATCGCTGGTGTTCTTGGGCGTTGTTTTTCAAAATAATAATAGCATCTTGATCCTTATCCGTCATTCTTCGTATTTTAATTTGCAGAACCTTTATCATTGATAAAGCAAACATAATACAAGACAACATAGCATTAGTTGAGAGACTAAATGCCAATAATATAACGCCTCCAAAATATTCGTAAAGCATAATAATTGTCTCATATTTTATGGGATTCACTTTATAAAGGTACACCTCATATATCAACGGCTTTATTAAGGTTTCGTTGTGCATCTCATTGTATTGCTTGATCTTAAGTCTGGCCAGCGTATTTTCGATAAGTGCAAAACAAACATATAGTAGCAGGTAAAAAGTAGCCAAAATCGTAGTCACTGTGTTGCAAAAGTTTACTTGCTTAGAGTGTGCCTTTAATATATCCTGGTCCTCTGATTTCATCATTTTTTCTTCTTCCTCCTCAACATAAGCAAATGCGTTTCGAACACCTTTCGTTTGGCAGAAAGTAACCTTAAGCATAATAACAAACATATTCATCAGATATGAAAAAGCCGTGATCATTTTCTCCATTTCTTCCTGCGACTTGGTTTTGTGACTTAGGCTTATTCCAACCCAAATGCACATGGCCGTTATTAAAAGCAATATAAATATGTGGATAAACAGTGAGTAAAGTTGGTACAATCTAGCGATCATTACATTTGATGTTATCTTATTTCTCCAGATGCCAAACACTATCATAACACGTTTGGGAATTTTTAAAATTTGAAGTTTTTTCTTTGAATTAATGCTGTTGCTTTTCATTTCGGAAAGCGATTTGATTATGTGTTAGTATCTTACCTCTCCATCTCAGGGTCGTGAAAAAGAAACGCATTAATTAATTAAATTCGTAATTTAATAGTGAGGCAAGACAATGCCTAGGCTAGCTCATTAACAACCGAGAAAAATTAATAAAGTAGAAAAGAAAAAAAATATATACATATACTAAACCAAAGCCAGGTTGGAAGGCGGTGAAGGGCACCTCGGTCAGTCCCGGAAGGTGGTAGGTAGGCGCCACGTGATTCAAAAAATAATTTATTTCCTTCAACCTGGTGGTAGGTGTGAGTGTCAAATCTCACCTTCAAGTTTTGGCGGTGCAAAAGAATGTAAGACACTATAATTTAAGGCTATAAGTTCCGCAAACCGTTCTTGAAGAGAACAGGCCACTTAAGCTACCCAAACCTCAAGATGTCCCGAACGTTACACAGCTGTCTGTCACTATCCCGGGAACCAAGCCAAGATGGAATGGTGGCTCAATGAGACAGCCGCAGGTGGGCAGTCTCAGTTAACCCAGCAAAGTCCGTCCGGAAAGCCGGCTGCTCGATAGGGGAAACTCCACAACTAAACATGTACCCAAGAGACAGCATACACTGCAAGACACCAAGTCTGGTCTGGTATTCCGGTGAAAGAAGAAACCACGTGGAAGGTTTGCGGGAAACGGAGCAACAATACGTACAATACTAATTAAAAAAAAAAAACCCTAAAATAAAATCGGCATAAATTGAGGAACACTGATTAGGTGGCGAAATGGTTCCAAAAGGTAACTTACCTCGATTCGAGGGTTTTCTGGAAATGTGGGGCAATGACAATTCTTTTCAAAATCCCTCGATGAGGAAGATTCCCATTCCAAACTCCAAATAGATCCAAAAGTATGGGAAATCATAAATTAGTGACCAATTTACATATCCCCCTCTTATTGGGGTAGCACTACCGGCTCAAAAAGAAATCGGTCACACAAAAGAAAATCTGCCACAACCCCAAGCTTCAAAAGCCAGCGTACAAAATGCCGGACGATTCAGACAACCAGTTTTATTAAAAGGCTAAACGGGCACAAAAAATTAGAGGGAAAACGCCACTCTTGCCAACCTAGTCGACGGTACGCCGCCAGTAGAAAGAACAACCGAACTATATCTGTGGTGATGGCCGTATGGCCCGTGCCAAAGAATCGAGGTTGCGTCAACGAGATCGAATTACCCGAACGCTATCTATGGTGGCGACCGGACGGCCAGTCACAGAAAATCGAGGAAGAATAGGTTAAGAAACAAAACAATGTTTACTAGGCTCGCCAAGGAATACCGAAGTAATGAAAAGCAAATGTGGTCCCTAGTCTCATAGGGTGACAGATGGTAATGGTTATGACTCCTTCTAATGCGCAACTAATACTCTGTTTTTTGCATTAGTATCTCTCAGTAAACCGGTGTCACTTAAGAGAAAACCAAGCGAACAAGGGGCCACGCACACAGCCGTTGCAGCATAAAATATTTATGGTTCGGCAACACAATCGGCCGGGGAGTACAAGTCCGAAACTAAAGGAACCGAGTCTACAAAAGAACGTGTGTTCAAATTGCAAAATCGATATGAACCTAATAAACAAGAATTTTAATTGTTAAGAAGCACTCGCCAAACAGCAAAAAGGTGAAGGAAATGGACAGTACAATTAATTATACAAGGTACTAATAAAATAAACCCGTTACTTCGCAAATGTGCCAGCACTCTCACTTTAAAAATGCTAAATTTTACCATTGAAATATGAAACCGTCACAAGTATTTAAAAATATATATACAAGTCCAGCGGTGAAACTAGTAGAAAATGTACTTCGAACCGCACTGAAAATTGTTTTATAAACGTGAATGCGAATTGGAGTTATTTATTTCATTTTACAGGACCGGATGAAGATAAAAATGCTGACCGGTACAGATGTCTCTGGCCTTCCACAGATATTTAAAAAAATAATTCATTCCGGAGCGCATTGCATGTGTAAAAATTCGATAACTGCAACCGCAGAGACTACCTTACAATCTACAGTCAAATAAAGGCTTTAGAGAAAACTGCAGTGTCGATTTATACAGGATGATATTTTTTCGTATTACAAAAAAAGAGCATTTAACCGGATCAACAGGCGAGAGTTATGAAACTGAACGTACATTTCTTGATCTTATGTTCTCCTGATAAGATACGCCGTTACACATATTTGTCAAAATTAATTTACTGTCCGATGGGCGTCTGGAGGCAGTTTTTTGCATACGTGCTATTCCCGCATTCGTTACATTTTCTAGAATTTCTAATGTTGTCTGATTAATAGGTTGGGGTTTGTAAAGTAGAGAGAAACGTGTACACAAGTTCCCGTTCTCCGGGTCGATTAGAATTATTGACGAAGGGGACAAGGGTTTCTGTTGTCAAACCACTTTGATGCAAAACTGTTGACGGTAGTGATGTGAACTCACTAACCAACCAACTCTATAAGAGAATTGTTGGTAGAATAATCCTCCGAAAACTGGAATCTGGGGTGAGAAACCTGTGCCTGCTGTTGTGAAGATAATTTTAACTTAAGCCTTTACTATTCATATCTTTATTATTGCATTAATATACTTCAAGGATTCCCATGTGGTTTTCTTTGGTTGGAAAATTTATTTCTGTATTAGACTTGTAAAATCATATTTTAAATTTATAAAATAAGATTAATTAAATGACAATGGACTTCATAATTTGGACATAATAATTTTGAGTTCATTTTAGGGAAAAAACTATATGTAAATAACAACAATGAAAAGAGAAAATTGAAGCTTTGATTTGTTGATTGCCTCAAACTACAACTGCGTTCCTTTAACTAACCAAAGCTATGAACACATAGTGGGCAGCTTTAATTGTTTCTACTTAAAGTTCATTTGTTTAGCCTTTGTTAGCCATACTCCAAATGTTCTGCAATTCTATTCCTCTCATTTTCTCACCTATAAAGTATATAAATGATAATTTTCAAGTGCCTATAAAAGATTTGAGTACTATTTATGTATAATTTGACCGAGCAAATAATTGAATTTCCAAAATTTGGGTTATTATTAATTTTTACGGGGTCTCTAGCATAAGCTTTGCACAACGTAGACCTGCGACTTTCATACACTCTCCAAAATTTATGAAATTGTGTTTAAGCTTCTAGAATAGGTAAAAGTTAGGATTTAAAAAATTGTAAACATTATTAAAAGAAAATACTATTTCCTAACGAAATTAAGTTGGGAAGCAGCGTGAAATAAATGATTTGCTGCCCATAATAAGATTAAGAATAACATTAAAAAAATAATTTGCTAACTACGCAAAAAGTTATATAGGGAGCAGTTTTCTCTTTTTCGATTAGTCCTACTCTGCAATAATCCAACTTTTTTAAGTAAGTGTGGTTGCTGGTTGCTTCCGTTAAGATATGTAAAATTCTACATAAATCTAACATGAAAGATATTTGGTTGCCTTTATTATATTTATCATGTTTACAGACTTAGACGCCGCTGGATTATTTTTATCGTTACAATTAGCTCATTTCACAGGTTACTGAATCATAATTGAAACGTAAGTATACGCCCCCTTAATCACCTGCAAGAAAGAATGATTATAATAATGTAATATAATATAATAATTTTTTTCTTGTAAATTAACGATTTACAAGATGGGGTTACGACAGATAATTTTGATCAAGTACTTTTCTTGATACGAATGCTGTGATCAGATGCTGTGAAGAATCGAGTAAGAAATACCATTGACGCACTTAGCTATGAATGTCTTACTTGAAGCATAATTCGCTATACCAGAAATATATGGACCAACTTATACAAACTTAAAAAATATTCATAAAAAATATTCAGTTAAAGCATTTATTTAAAAAAAAAAAATTAAGCAGATTGAAAAGTAATTTTTATAATAACACCCTCATTGGCTTGTACTTTCGTCTAAACAAGGGCATTAAGTTAATGAAAACACGCTGTTCTCATGGTAAAAACCAGAAGTAAAACTGTCTAATGGACTAGTTTCTCGGTTGCTGACCCTGGATCCTGGTAGGATAATTTGGAGGATCCCATTAAGAAAATTGCGCAATAGGAATTTTTGGCTTGTATATAAAGTGTGCACTAATATGTTCTGTATTTTTTTCTGAGCAATAATTGACTGTTCTTCTGATGGCTTGTTCATTTGTGCTGATACAAACTTTATTTTCACTTAATTAGGTCCTAAAAATGGTGTCAGTATGCGTTTTTTGGTGGTTAAATCATTTTTCGAATGTGGTCTGGCTGAAAAAATAACCTTATTTTGCTTTTCTAAAAGTAGTGTTGCTAGCATACCAAACTAATTCCCATTTTCCAAGAGCGATAAAACTGACAGACAAAACTGATTTTCAGACTATAGGCGATCATCGTTCGTGTATTGTCAGTTTTTGTGTGTTCAAGGGATTATAAGAAGATAATACAAAAATATATCGCATTATTGTATTTAATTTCTAGGTGCCAAATACAAAGGTGGAGTGGAAAATTATTGAAGCAAGTTTTAATTAAAAAAATTGCCTCGTGTTATGACTCGATGGATGGAAAACATGTGGAAATAAAATCTCCTGCCAGAAGTGAAAATGAATTATTTAATTATAAAAAACAAGCTGTTGCCGACCACGACTACTCTTTTACATAGTGACTTTGCATCTGATGAATGCGTTTTCGAGACTGCTTATTTTCCAACCACCTGGAAAATTGTTTGTTACCCGAGTTATGGTTGCAGATTCAGCAATTCCTCTTAAACGAACCAAAAATAACTATTAGTGCAAAAAATATTTCAATACAGGCAGACACATGGTCGAAAAAGCTTTTGGAATCACTAAAAAATGTTTGAAGCTTGTGCACTCCATTATTGTTACGAAAAAGGTCCGAATCCTATATCACTGAAACATGTGTAGATAAGAAATATCATACCAGATTCGTGGAAAAAAGCATTTCCAATCAAGGCAGTGAGCGTTCGGCAAATGAGGCTAGAAAAAAATGAGAGAAATAGCTTCATTTATTTATAACCGACATAATTATTATTATGACTTAATTTACGAGGTTAGCGCCAAAATTTTCCGGCCTGACATAAATGCAGCTCCAGTATCACGATAAAACTTTTGTCTTTTTTTAAATATATATCTTAGTAGGCTGCGAAAAAAAAATCTTGCGTCAAATAATTATTTATGGACAGCGTTTTAAACAAGGCGTCTCCGAAAAAATGTCGCAAATAACGCAAATTAAATATAGAGCAGTCATAAAGTTTTTGACAAAAGAAGGGTTAGCACCTAAAATTATTAAAGAAAGGCTGGATGGTGTATACGGCCAAAGTTCTCCTTCGTATTCTGTAGTGAAAGAATTAGCAAAAGGCTTTTGAATGGAGCAGGAGTCCCTTAAAGATGATTCAAGAACTGGTCGACCAGTGGAGGTCATAACGGAAGATATTGTTGCGATTGTGGAAGAGGTGGTATTGAGTGATCGACGTTTAAAGGTCAAGGAAATCTCAGAAATTACTAAGCTTTCTGATTCAAGTGTTTGTCGAATCCTGCATGATCATTTGGGTATGCATAAGGTTAGTGTAAGATGGGTTCCTAAACACCTTTCGGCTATTCAAAAACAACGCCGTGTCGAGGTTGCGCGGTCTTTTTTGGAACTCTGTGGGTCGGAACCGAAGCTTGTGATAGAAACTATTATGACGGGAGATGAAACTATGGTTCTCTATTATGACCCTTTATCGAAAAAAGAATCAATGGAGTGGCGTCGTAAGGGTGAAGCACCTCCAAGAAAATTCAGAGTCTGCCAGTCAACAAAAAAGGTGATGGCCGCGATCTTTTGGGATTGTGAAGGAATTCTTTTCATAGATTTTAAAGAAACTAATACCACTGTCAATGATAAATATTACGTAATATTATTACATAAATTGCGAGACTGCATACGTGTAGAACGTCGAGGAAAACTGACCAGAGGCGTGCGTCTTTTGCACGATAATGCACCTGTCCATACTGCTGGTGTTGCACAAGCTGCCATTTTAGAGTGTGATATTTGAAAAAGGACTTACGTGGACTGCGGTTTAACGACGAAGTTGAGTTAAAAGAGGCTGTTTTCGCTCATTTTGCAGAAAAACCAAAAGAATATTTTTTTAAAGCGATTGAGTTGTTAATAAAGAGATGTAATAAGTGTATTGCAGTTATGAGGGCTTATATTTAAAAATAATAAAAAATTGTTACTGTACTTTGTTTGTTTTATATTCAGGCCGGGAAATTTTGGCGCTGCCCTCGTAACTCCTCAAATCATTTTACTTTAGTTTCATAAACGTCCGCCGCAACTCCAGATCTGTTTGATTTCTCGATGTTACGAATCAAATGGGAATGGTAAATTTGTTGTGTCTTGTATATAGTTGAAACGTTTCAATTGCACTGAATGCTCGTTCAGACGTTGTTTGCAATACCGATGTGAGTGGAAGCTATTGGCAAGAAAAATAGGCACGCTGCAGTAATGGCGGCAAACGCAAGGAAACATAGTGACGGTAATATTCCATTGTTGGCGTCAATTATTGGATACGTGTAAATCGGCCTTAAAACACTACACTTCAGTCTATGTCATCACTGGCACTGCACATATTCCGAGTGTGCCGACAACGCGTATTTCATCCGTACGCCGTACACTATAATCAGATGGTAAAAATTTGGCAATATACGAATAAATAGTCCTTGCATGATTGATGATTGATGATTGATCGAGACTCTTATGTTTTCGGTGTCACTGAAAATTCGGTATTAATTCTTGAAAATTCAAAACGGCGAAACCAACATGGCGTCGGATACCAGCTGTACAGAGCCATATAATTTTCGGATGTATTTAAACAATATTTCTTCAAGATAACTACTTTAACAAATTAACATTTTTAAAGTTTTATAAACGAAATGGCATTGGGCTTCCTTAGGCAACACTTTGCGAAGATAATATTGTTGAAGTTTTACGAGCCTAATATGTCGGCGTGCTTTCTTTCATAGAGGTGACTTGCAAGCGTCCAATATACACGGTAAAACTTTTACATTCCAGCAACCTTGCCAGACGTATTTATAGGTCTTAGCCAAATGCAGTCTTATTCATAAAAGCTAAAATTATTTGAAATGCTTTATGTGGACAATTAAGTGTATTAATTGAAAGTTTTCTATTTTATTTTTTAGTTACGCGTTGCGACAAAAATGAAGTTAGGTCGACCTTTGGAAGATTTCGGAGACTAATTTTATTATATGTATATAACTACACATTCGTAAACATTATTTGCTTAAAATTAGACTGGAATCAAGCGGAGATTTTTTTGCGACCCCTTATTATGATCGAAATTATTCTTCTATCATATTAAAAAAAAAAAAATTATTTCGCAGTTTTGAGCATCAAAAGGGTACTTGAAATTAATATTAATACATGTCTAAATAATGTATAAGGTGGGCCGTTTATCTTACCATATCTCAGAAACTATAACTTTTTATTTTAAATGGAACATCTGGTATATTATTTCATTTTTGAATTCTATACAAAATTCTAGACATGTTTTGTGAATGTCCTATACTTAAGTCTAACCGTGTTTGACATTTTAAATTTTTTATGCCAAAAATGACGTTTGCAAGACGTAAAATAACTGCCAATTCCTGCATTCGGAACCGTTTATTTAAAGGACTCCAATAACGGATTTCATAAGAAATTTCTACACATCTTAATACAAGGTACACGAAAAATAAGATTAAAAATGAAATTAGAACAAATGCCAAAAAACTTTTTTTTTAAATGAAATCTGCCTATTTTGATATTTTTTTCATATTTAGCATTAAAAATTAAGGCAATTTTGTAAAATGTTTTATATGCCTAATATTTTTACTTTTTGAAATATTTCCTTTCAAACACAAATAATATGCTGTTGCCATATAAATTCAGTTAGTGTAAGGTGGCTGTGACGGCGTTTGAACAAAACAAGTGCTAAAGTCCTTTGTCTACATCAAAACTTACTCAAGTGAAACAATAAGCCCTTCGGAATGAAGAAACTGGCAGATATTTATGTCTTGCAAACTTCATTTTTCGCAATAAAAAATTAAAAATGTCCACAACGGTTAGACTTGGGTATAGGATATTATACACAAAATATGTCTATAATTTTGTATAGAATTCAAAAATGAAGTAATATACTAGGTGTTCCATTTAAAATAAGAAAGTCGATATTCGCCCAAGAAAATTAAAATAAATTAAAGTTTAGTAATACCTCAATTAACATTTGCATTTAACTTTTGGCTCCATCCCCCATAGTTATACCTCAAAATATTCACAATTTTATAACAACCACTTTAAAACTTACGATTTGATTACAGTATATGTCGTGTTTATCTTCTTGTTTTGTATTTAAAATGCAAGTTTTCACGAGTTTAAATAATGCCAATATATTTTTATATTTGATAACATTTTTATTTATTTATTTTTTTTGAAGGATGAACTAGTTCATTTAAAGAAAAGTCTAGAATTTTACGTATAAGCAAAATTTACATATTTCGCTCGAAATAAATGTTACGAATCAATTTATACTTACTGTTACAGCCGATTGAAGTGTCATTTCGTCAAACGGTCCTCTAGTCATATGTAGAGGTTTTTTAGCTCGCATCATCATCATAAACAATATACGCTTAGCTTCCTCATCTTGGTTATACCAGTTGCTATCGTAAATGGCGTCCGCAATTGCCATGCTCTGCCATTTCAATGAAATCATTAAAACAAAGGAGCAACTTTTGCGAGTACATATAATGTACTATCTATCGATTTACCTGCAGTCTGATTTCGTTTGAACTCCAACCCAATGCAAGGATGTATATAGCGAAAGAGCCAGAATAAAACAAACTACCAATCCGCATGGAAAGAGTGTCGTCCTAAAATAAGTCCTAATAGAATGTTTATAGCTGAACAACGGCCAAAACTGCTGTTCAAAATTTACCAAAAGCGGCAAAAGTGCTTCTCGAGATTTGCTTTTTCCAATTTTTCTAATCGTGGCACGTTACTAGCAACCACCAAAACTTACGTCCGTTGTTTCTTTTCGTCTTTATTTAATATTCTGTTCACGCTTTACCTTTTTGACATTTCCAAGCTTAATATTGTACGACCAAAAATATTGTGCATTTTAAAGTATTAAGTTTTAAGTATTTTTTCTACTCCTGTCTGTAAAATGTCTAATTACACTACGATCTAGCGTGCAGGAACCATCACTTTACCACGTATCCGAGCCACGTCGGACATTTCCGGAATTTTACCGCACGGGTTTAGGAGAATCGGATGTTTTCGGAGATATTTCCTAGGCCTTGAATTTTGATGGTTGTCAATTCTGACTGTCATGTCAGTGAATGTATTCGTGTTGTTTTGTGAAAATGTACCCAAAAACTAACGGTCGTAGAAATAGTATAGTATGCAACACATTCGGTAAACTCGTTTATTAAACACTCGCTCCGCTCGTGTCAAATAAACTCGTGAATCAAATGCCGTTTACCGCACTTATTGTGTAATATAATATTACAGTATCTTAAATGCTCCTTAGCAGGACCGTGGTAAAACCCATCCCAACAGATGTTTATTTTGCATTCTGAGATGGACCGTAACGTATAATTGTAGAAACATGAAATTTTTGTTTGAAACCTAAATGCACTGTTTTAAATTTGATTAAGTATTGATGCAGCGGGGGTTCTGCGAGGCTGTTTTCACTGGATAGTTCAAAGGGTTATGGTAAGTACCTGCACTCAATTTATCTAATAGGTAACTTTGAAAATAATCAATTTTTTCTTGTGTGCCTGTCGATCAACAACTTTCTTCTTCTTGTATTTTTGTGTCTTCTACATAGTTCTTCGATTTGTAAACAACTTTTCTTTTTTAAGATTATGGATTAAATTCGCGGTAGATAAAGGAGCGTCATAAGAAGAAGACATGGAAAACAACGCAGAATTCGAAGGCGAAGTAGAGATGGTAGTCGAACCTAATGAGAATTTAGAAGACGAACTACCTCAGGAAATAAAAAAACGGATCCATTTCTCTTCGGACGCTAAACAAATTGCTTTGAATGTTTACAATTTTATAAGAAATTCAGAAGGGCAAGTAGAAACAGCAATAAAAACAAGTGACATGGAAAGTAATAAATTGTTACTATTGTACTACTTTTTTTATGTATTTTATGTTCCAAGAATTGCTCGGCAAAAAAGATTGAAAACAGTTATATTCCGCTTGTTAGTGTAGGTAGATAAATTCGTAGGACGGTCCTGGAATGGTTACGAGTAAGGGTCTGCTCGGCAGGGTGCTCCATAAGGGAATGCGGTTTTGGAGTAATAAACAGTAGGCAAAGTTAATGACGGGGTCGGTTGCAAAAGCACTATAATTCTGCTCCAGGTATACCAGGTCCTTCGAAAAACTACATTTTTTTTAACCGCCCGCAAAAACGCCGTTTAATTTATTGTTAAAAACAACCAGTGGATGTCTGTGACTACAATTTGCTCATAATATTTGATTTTCAACATTTTTTAATAATTGAGATTTTTCGATTAATCAAAACTGTTACGAATTCCAACTTCTTTAAAAAATTCAATATATTTTTTTAATATATCATGTAATATCAATAACATTATAATATATATATATATATATATATATATATATATATATATATATATATATATATATATATATATATATATATATATCTCACGAACGAATCACGATTAGCCGGACCCCTTCGGAGCAACATTTTTATCGCCATGAAATTAATTTTACTTGTTTTGATTAAATATATTAGGCCATCATAAGAATGTTAACCATTTACGTATATGCACAACATTTCATAATAAAACAGTTTTACTTACCTGTATAAAACGGAGTGCCGCAAGCGCTATATTAAGTGATATAGTCGAGTACTCAATCAAGATGAGATATTTAAGTAACTCATTCAGTTCTTCCACAAATCTACAATTGCGTCGATAATCAATAAACAAAAAAATTTAGATGTCCTAATAAGTTTAGAGCTCCGTAGCATTCGATTTTGATAGAACAAATGCAAGAATTACTTTCACGAATCTAGATATACGAGACTGATTGAAACAAGTTTATTATGAAAAAAAAATTGAATAATTGAAGTGGGATCATTATTTGATCCAATTGGTTCAAATATTTTATTTTGATTTCCAAGTAGTAATACTAAGAAGTTTTCGAACCTCCATTGCCTTAATTTATATTTTAAATTTCTGAACATTTCGGGTAAGTGTATCATTTCCCGTTATCATTTTACAGTAAGTAACTTGCTACTTTTGTATAAGCAACATTGTAACCGAGGACAGTGTTTCAAATATTAGCAATTGTAGCACCGGTGTTGATTCCGCCAAATAATGTTGCCAAACGAAATTGCCACAGTGTTGATTGTATTCAAATGCGGATTTGCTTAGTTAAACAGACCCCTTTCAGGTTTCTAACAGAACATTTATTCATCTACTTAGATTAACAAATGCTTTTGTTCAAGAATACGAGTTGTTGGTTTCCAGAAAAATTTTCATTGAAAAAATATTTTAAAATCATCCTGGACAGTAACATTTCTCCCTTTTTCAAGAAGGGATGCACAGGATACTGCAGCACTGCTGGTTTCACGCGAAACATGTCGACTAGAAGCTGTATATTTTGCATTCTGTATCTGCGCTACAGTAACTTTTTTGTAGCACGTCATGCTTCAAAAGTATTTAGTGGACCCATGCCTTAAGGCTACGCAGCTTAATATACTTATTTACCGAGGTTGTTCCTCTTCCAAAGTTGGTTATTTACTTTTAATAATAGTTTTTGATGAACATAGTTTCCTTAATCTTCATTTTTTGCAATGCTGTTCCTTCTGAACAACCCAAGTTTCGGGCCGTTTGATGTTGTTTGGTGAATACATGTTCCGCAATTTCTAAGTTTGAGTTACACTCCTCATTATATATTCAATTCTTATATTTAAAAGTTTCTCCAATATACGACCCTCTTGAATCGATGTTTCTGGCTTTGTTTTTTTTTAACACGTCTCTTAATGTCGACCCGGGCTTAAACATAGTCTTAATATTCTAATTTTCAACCAATCTTCATGCAATATTTAGTCTACATGATTCCGCATTTGCACGTTTTTACAATCACATTTTATCGAGGGATGCTTGGCCACTGCATATTGTGATTGGTGTTTTGCAAAAGGGTTTAATTATTCCTAGTTTGGTTGCTCCACAATATTAGTTGGAGTTCCTATAAACAGAAGTACTGAAAGAGTCATCATTTTTAGTTACTAAGACGTCTTACGTTTTCTAGAATAGAACCGATAGATAACTGGACTTATTTCTCAATCAATTCGTTGCGTTGTCTACCGTGTATAGATACAACTATTGCCTAATTTAAAACAAAATAAAGGTAATGGAAGCTCGGAAATCTCTTGGAATGGTTAATCAGATAGGAAAAAGCCACTTAGTAAAGCAGGAAAAATATTTCAAGTGATCCATTTCGAGAGAGTGAAAAAAACCGATAAATTTCAATATTCAAAACTTATTATCATAAATTCAGTCCATGTCACGGCTCAAAGTTTTTCTTACCATTCTGAACTACACTCGCATGATTATAAATTCGAATACCAACAGAAATTCAAACATCGACATATTCAATATAAGATTGTAACCGTTTTGTCCATACCCAAATAGCACAATTTAAGACATTGGAAATAAAACCAATTTTCGCTTGCCAATATTCTTCGGCATTACAAATAATTCGACCAAACCATGTTTTTAGAATCCTTTAAATTGGCTTTTGGTATGGTTTTTTTTATATCATCCTTTTCCAATGTACATAAAAATTTATACTTGAATTATAGCCCCAAACTTTTGTATTTTATATTGTATCCGACAGTGGAATTTAAAGGATATCCAAAAAATATCCGCTAGTCCATTATTGGACTTCCAGAGAGTTTCCTAGACTCTTTTCACATATCCAATGAATATAGTGTGCTATCTGCGTATATTCTACGAGGATTATTTCATAATGGAAAAAAAAATATTGTAATCATTTTGGTACAATGTAATCTAAAAATATCTATTCTATTTACCTTATGAGTTGTTGATGTTCCTGGGCATTCTTTTTCAGAGTGGTCAAAACTTCGTTTCCAGTTTTACGCAGTTTGATTTGCAAAGACTTTATCATCGACGATGCAAAGATGATGCAGGACAAAATCACATTGTTTGAAAGGTTAAATGCCAAGAATATGGCGGCCGCCACATATTCGTAGAGCATAATTATCGTTTCGTATCTTATAGGGTTGATTTTATAAAGATATACGTCGTATATCAGCGGTTTTGTCAAAGTTTCGTTGTGTATCTTATTATATTGTCCTGTTTTGATTCGGGCAAGCGTATTTTCGATAAGCGCAAAGCAAACATAAAGCACTATGTAGGAAACAGCCAGAACGGAATTGACGCGATTGCAAAATTTTACATTTTCTAAATGAGTATCCAATATATCCTCGGACTCAGATTGGTTGATTTTTTTCTCCTCTTCCTGTACAAATTCTAACGTTCTCCGAATCCCTTTCGTTTCGCAGAGAATTACTTTAAGCATAATTACGAACATGTTGATGAGATACGTAATAGCTGTCATTATCCTTTCAATTTCTTCCTGTGACTTGTTTTTGTGTGTGATGCTAATACTAACCCAAGTGCACATGGAAAATATTAATAAAAACAAATAAATGTGGATACATACAGAATAAAGTAGATAAATTCTGTCCAGAAACGTATTCTCTGTCAGCTTACTTCTCCACAATCCAAGTACAACCATGATGTGTTTACAGAATTTTAAAATTTCAGGTTTCTGATTAGGCTTGCCTCTCATTATTACGATGGTTGGTTTGTCGCCTTTGAATTCAACTTGGTGCCACTTCGTCGAGGAAATGAGGCTCTTGTAGATGTATGCGCCATTTTATTGAGCTTTATAGAGAAAAAGAATTCTTTGTTTCTAACTGTAAGCAGAGACGTACTCAGCTATAGCCGCATATATTATCAGTTTTTATTTTACTAATTGCCTACATCACACAATGAGATGAAGAATCAAAATAGGAAACACTAAATGACATATTTTGTCAAAAAAAGATATTTTTATATTTAAAAGGAAGTGTCCTTTATCTCGATAAGGAAAAAGATTTTTTTTAAGTGTTTTAGGTAAAATATTCATATTTCGTGCTAATCATTCTTCAGAAAACATTTTTTTAAACAAATCTTATATCTATATCACTTTTGTAATTATTGAAGTTATTATGTAACTTTAGACTTCCTGTTCTTATGATTTCCTGATATTATAAGTTGGCAGTCCGATTCTGCGGTATCATGTGGAGGCATTGACGACTAGTTTGCATACATGTGTGGTTTCTCGCATTCGTAAAATTGCTAGAATATTTAATATCGCCCAATGATACGTTGCGGTTTACCAAAGGAAAAGGAATTCGTACGCAATATTTCCGGGTCGATTAGAAATATTGATACATCCAATCGAAATATGCAATTTTATGTTCCTCGTGTGAAAAGTAGCCATGCCATGAAATGTATGACTTAAACTTAAACTTTGACGTGTGACAATGACCGTGCCAAAGTGTGCCAATACAAAGTGGTACTTAATTTATTAAAACTTAACTATTAAAAACATTTGAAGGTAAATGTCAACTGTTGTGTTTCACAGAAGTGTTCACTGTTACCAATCGCTGTTACCAAGAATAGCGATCGCAGAACTATCGATGTTACCAGATTGAATGAGCCTGGAGCAGTTATAAATTATTTCGGAACTAAATTCTGTAATATGTTATATCATGATATAAAACTTTTAGGAAAAAAATGTTTTTCAGTAAAGACAAGGATTTATCATATTTATTTTAAAGAATATTTTAAAGACTCGCTAGATTATAGAAATGGAAAATGATACGTATTATAAAATTATTGCCCTGCCATGACGTGAATTAAAAGTCGAAACATCGGCACTTTTTGGAAAAATGGGAGTTTCATTTTTGTTGCTGATGCATATTAGTTCCACATTAGTGTTTCTTTAAAAATATTTTGATTTTAATTAGAATTATTTCCAGTTGTCCCTATTGCTATTAGTTTTTCAATTATTTGAGGAAGAAAGTTTTGATTAATTTTACAATTTCGAAAAATTTAAAGATTTTTGGTTTATACTCGCCTTCATGCTGTTGCCCTAACCAGTGTCAGGCAGCAACTAATATCTGATGGATTCCTTTGGGAGCCCTGAATATAATTTAGGATTGTTTTGGGTTTTGTACTTGTTTGCACGTTCTTCTGCTTCCTGAATAGCGTTCAAATACTTAAATCTTGAGAACCGTCGCTGTGATGGTTTGGGTCCCACAAGAGTTTTTTCTATTTTGAATGGACGTAAATGACCTATGATTCAATTAAAATGTGCATGTAGTCACAGTCAAGAGCTACGGTCTGATTCAACTCTAACGGTTGATTGCTTAATAGGGATAGGACTCGAAACGCTTATCTTCTCCTTGAGAAACCTGGTTGATCAAGACAATGCTGACCTCACTGAGATTCTTGGGAGTTTACTTTGTTCCTAAATTAAGCTAGGAAGCAGCATTTTCCTATTGAGAAGCTTGACAGAATCCGAGATACACTACTATCGGCTTACTTTGCTCTGTTTTATTTTGTTTGTCCTACGGTACGATAGCTTGGGGTGAAACGGCTAGGGCTCTACAGAATTTTAAGGATAACTGGAGAAATAATTTTGGTAAATTTTCCTGCACAGTAGGTATTTCATTGCATTATTTTTGTTAGGTCAAACAGGGAGGGTTTTGATGTCTATGAAGTCATGGTCAACAAACAGCACATTGTATGCTGGGAGGAGTTAGAACAGACAGTAAATTGTTTTAAGGATACCTCTTAGCATATGGGAACTCTGACTGAACAACTTTAGAAAAAGGTTAATGGAAGACCCTTTTCACAGCGGGTGAGAATTTTTGAATTATAGTTATTGCTGTCTAGATTAAGTCTTTAAAGAACTGAAGTGTGACAATGCAACAAGTGTGTTAATCCGCATTTGAGTCACAAGTTCATTTAGCACGGGCGGAGCGAGTGCCTAATATACAAGTGACTTAAAAAGTTTAGCAAACGTGTTGCATACTATACTTTTTCTACGACCGTTAGTTTTTGGGTACATTGTTGCAAAACAACACGAAATCCCGTGCGGTAAGTATAACGGACATGTCCGAAGTGATTTGGATTCGTGGGAAACAAAGCCGTTTACCACACTGTATGTATAATATACTATTTTCTACTCCGTTCTCTAACATGCCCAATTATACACCGATCTAGCGTGGGGAAAGTGTCATTTTCTCACGTCAATTTCGTTTTCCATGGATCCGAGAGAGCTCGGGTTTGGAAGCAATCGGATGTTTTCGGAGATATTGTCAATAGTTTTTTGTATTTGTCTTGTTTTGCAAAAATGTACCCAAAACCGTCATAGAAAGAGTATAATATGTAACACGTATGGTAAACTTTTTAAGCCGCTCTGTTGCGCTCCGCTCATGCCTCAAATGCCGTTTACCACACTTGACTGGAAAAAATTAATACTAATAATCAACTAAATAATCTAAGTTCTAGTGAAAAGGAGAATTAATTTAATAAGAATCAGATATATAACACAAATTTGCACAAATTATTTTTGGGTAAATTTTTGCAGAACAGAAATAGTATATTATATAATTTTTCGTCTTTAGGAGCAACTGTTCTCGAAATATTTGACTTCATGTAATGGTGACATACAGTTCGGTAATTAAATTTACCATTAAAAAAATAATCTTGCTAATATTGATATCTACCGCAGAAAACTCCAAAAAATACAATTATAGGAAAAAAAGATAGAAAGGATAGATTTATAGGAAATCAACTATCAGGTATTTCAGAAAAGTGTAGAATGAAAAATTGAAAATTCCATGCAGGTGCGCGCAATTTCGGTGTCGGCCATAGGCGTAGATAAACTTTGTGCAGTAATAGTAGTAGTTAGGTATTATGCAACAAGTGCGGTAAACGGCATTTGAATCACGAGTTTATTTGGCACGAGCGGAGCGGGCGCTTAATAAACGAGTGAGATAAAGAGTTTACCAAACGTGTTGCATACTATAGTTTTTCTACGACCGTCACGAAAAAATCACAATTTAACAAATTAAAAATAATCACAGATTTTCGGATTACTAAATATCGTACCATTCAAACAAAATATTGACTGGTTACCATTAACGCTACTCGTTTATCTTTCCGATCGGTTCTGCTATTGTTGTCTCTTTTTAACTGAGTACGTTAGACAGAGAGAGATGTATTTATTGGATATGTCATATAAACAATGGATTAAACACAATTTTTAAACGTTATATTGTTTATTTAACGTTTAAAATTGATCATTAAGTAAGTATCTAAATAAAAAAGAAAAAGGAAAAGAAAATTCATTCAAGGAAAGAGCTTTCAAGATCGTATAAGCAAGAAAAAGCTAAACTTCAATCTTGTTTTGTTTGTATTGATGAGACATTAATATTTGAAAATTGTACAATTGGTCTTGGCAAGATATTAATATAAAAACTGTAAAAGTTCATGCGAACGGTATGTAAAATCCCAGAAATGTCCGAAGTGGCTCGGATTTGTGGGAAACAAAACTGACGTAAAGTGGCGCTTGCCACACGCTAGATCGCTGTGTGATTAGGTATTTTACAGACAAGAGTAGAAAAAATTATATGACGTTTATAGCAAATACAATAAAGTTAATTTACACTCTGCAAATAGTATTTTTGTAATAGACTTTCATTTTCATTCAGAACTTGTTTCTGGAATGAAATTAAAGAAAAAAAAATTATAGAGGGCCCAAAATGATTATAAAAAATTTTTAAAAAATATTAAATGTTGATTTTAAATTATACCGTGGGATGGAGGCAGAGACTCTAAAATAGTATAAGAAATGCAAATTTTATAGCCAGTTCCTGGAATATTTTTCAATGGTATCACGCTCTATTGGGCCCCTGAATCATAAGGTTTTTTAAGAAAATTCTTGAAAAAAATAGAGCAAGTGTTTTTGAATAGTGAACCCCAAAAAATAATTCTAAAATAAACTTATCTTTAAATGATTAAATTCATATTATTTTGAGTGTCAATTTCGTAAGATAACGTTTTTGTAAAAATTAAAACCATATTTTATTAAACAACGGTGAATGACAGATATAGGAAAACTGTAATTTATTTCTGTTCCTTTAATATTGACCCATACCAGTAAGGATTTATACACTTATTGTGTCCAGATAAAAAAATGTTTTTATTTGTTGCTTCACGTATAATACTGTAAAAGCTTAAAACGAATTCCATTCGTTCCAATATCTTATTGAACAATAAAAAAATAATATGAACTTCTAAATTTTAATCCGTGCTTTGAACTATTTATCATTTCAATATTACTTTTTTTTATTTTGATGTAAATTTCAGATGAAAAAAAGAACAATAAGAAACAACATAGTATTATCTAGGCTTTCGGTAATTTCGTCATAGTACTCTTTTTCCTGTTTTTTTTTTCAACTAAGTTTTAAGCTAGACTTCGCCTTTTGAGGCTTATAGTAGTTAGGTGGCTGTTATATTTTCATTTAGTTGTAAATTAAATTTCTCAACAAAGACCATTACTATTGTTATTATTATTAGTAACATTTTTCGACCAGAGCTCTCATGGAATTATCAAAATTATTAAGAAGAAGAAGAAAATTATTTTGTTCGAATTGTCTCCTTCTATATTAGTTAGTTTATCAAAACATGTTCAAAATTCTGGAAAAAACACTCTACTTTTCCTATCCTAATGGAATGAACCAAGAATGACTGATTTTTAGTATTTAGTAGTAGTATTATCTTGCCCGAAAAAGTTTTTTACTGGAAATTAGAGAACACCAAATTGTAAAAATAGCAATGTATGTAAAGGACTGATCAATAAAATATTTAATGTTCGACAAAGCTCGTCATAGGACGAAATTTACGTTTCCATACTATTGTATACAATATACACCCTCCCCGCCACCCTTAGAGATATACAAATAAAACCCAATCAACGGACTAACTATTCAAATTAAAATTTTTATTTTATCTCGTACAATAAATGTCAATAAAAAACGCTGGTTGTTTTAAAAAGTATAAACATAAAAATCTATGACTAAGTATTATAATTACAATGTCGCTTTTTGCATTAATAGTATAATACATTTTGCCACTGAGGCTAAAACCGTAAGGTATCTCTAATTATTAGTAATGAGTCAAATCATTAATACGCGATAGGTATTTGTAGGCTTTCCGGAGTGGTTATAATATTAGTACACTGTTACAATAATACATCCATAAAATCGGTAGATTGCGCAATAAAATAAAATCACAAAAATACTCAAATATATTAAATCTTTAAGAAATATTTTAAAAGGAATGAGAATATTTTACATTTCATAAATAATACATCTAAAACATATACAAATATATTATTCTAAAATCGGCTGATAATTTATAAATTACGTGAGAGACTAATTTCCCTTCTATTTGCGGCATCTCCTAAATGCACTTCTCATAGACACTTTGAGAGAATTTTCTATCGCCCTGGTCCCAAACTACACTATATATTCTTTTTATCTTATTATCGAACGATGTTCGTTCCAAACAAGTCTTTCCGTCGCATCAGCCTTAAAATGAAAACTGAGGATTTGAGTTGCTTTACAAATGAGGTAAGCTCTTGCTTAATTTATTTAAGTAACCGGTACAGAATTAAAAAACGACGGTCAACTCTTTAAACAGTTTTGAAAATATGCTTAGAGGTATGTTTGACACTTACTACGCGTTTACTACATTTGCTGTATCACACATTTATCATCTCCAATATAGCGGTTATTGAATATAAAACGAAGTAAATTTTCGAAAATCTACGTGTCGAATCTTCACTGAATTTTACCGGTGGTCACATTAATGACAACCCTTTCCCTGCTGTCTTCTCGATTTACGGAATTTCTCCTCGGTGGGGATGTGCCAGTGTTTACTCTGTTTTTCCTGCTCCTTTTAAATTTCGCAACGTCCTCGCCGAAAACATCACCGGTTCTTAAGGCCGAAATCAGATCGTCGAACTCCCCTGCTTTTGGACTTTCGCCGTTTTTAAGTTGCAAACTTTTGTTAAGGGCGGGCAGAATTCCTTCTAAAAAAACAAGGAACAGTGTCAAACAAAATAAATACATCACTACCAAGAAAAAATCGCAAATAAACTGAAGATTAATTGTAGTATATTATGTATCAAGGTGGATAGACGTCATTTTAGAGCTTAATAAACGAGTGACTGAAGATATTCATCATGCATACTATACTACTAAACTAACCAAAACTGATCAATACAATGCCCGTCTGAATTGGCAAACGTCAAAATATCTTCCTTGACTAAAAGCTATAGTTGGCGTAGTTTCCTCTCTGGAATGACGTCATGTTTTTGTTCCAATGACGTAATTCTTATATTCTTTATATTTGAGCAATGATCTAAACGCATACAGTGATGTAGATCAGACGGTTGCGTTCAACGCTGGCGAATGCTAATTTAAAATTAGCATTTTTCGTACAGAAAACGATAAAATTTTTCAAAACCGAACCAGAAAGCCCCACCAGAGTCGGTTTAAAAGGATATACAACTTCAAAAACTAAAATTTTCTTACAAATGAAGCCACTAGGCTTAATTAATATAAATTATTTAATCTTTGTTTTATTCCTTGTTTGAAAATTATTCTAATTCTCAATTATAGACAATATACTCCTCCTAACTATCTTCAGAATCACAACTAAACTCTAAGATGTCTTCATCGTCATGGTTGTCGTCTTCGTCGGCACTAATTACATGTGGCGCAAAGTCTGAAGCATCAGATGGTCTTGTATTCTATTGTCTTCCAAACTTATTGGATTACCCTGTCTGTTTGGTTGACATAATTTTGCCAGTGCTCCGAAGAGACTAGCAATATAGAATTTCCTCTAACAATCAGGTCATACCATTTCAATAGCATTAAACTGACAATGGTATGCAGGAAGTTTTAGTATTTTGGAGCCAAAAGGTTTGACAGGTTTGTCCAGGTAGAATTTTTTTTGTCGCATTTTTTTCTCCATATTTCATTCTTTATGGCCCTCCTTGGGAAGTCAATATTCTTTTCTTTTAAAAGTTCAATCAACCTCTACTTTGCCCGTGATTTTATTAGAATATTCTCTGAAAGGCCGGAATGATAACTTGCCTTGTCCATCACTATCAAACTTTTTTAATTAATTTTAATTTAATTTTAATTTAATTTAACTTAATTGACCTCCTTAATAAATCCTTCCTTTGATCCAGTGTGAACCACAATATAGCTATGTTGCTAGATGTTTCTAAACGAACCTTAACTAAAAATCCAAGTCTCAATAAATACGTAATTAATTCTCTTGTGAACAGTTTGCGATAAATCCATCAGATATTTTTTATTTGATTTCTTCCAATTAAAACCAATAATTTTCACGTATTTTCTTTGAGAGATGATGGCAAAATTAAAATATTCCTGTCCCTTTTAGTTTTTTAAGCAAAAAGTGTTCGAAAAGTATATTCACTTTTCGAACACATTCAGTAGGTCATATTGTAGGTAACCTGTAATTTTTATTTTTACCCCGTTTTGCATTTGAGACATTCTGAAGGATTCATCGCTCATTATTGCTCTTTTCTTAATATTTATGATTGTTTTATGGCTTTGTTGTGTTGCATTTGAAATTCGTTCCAATCCAAAGAAAAGCCAAGGTATCTATTATTATTGATTGTAATTGATTATTATTAGTGATTATTATATCTTCGCGGCATTTTGCAAAAGTTTCTTTATAGTAGTCAATGCCGGTTAGTTTCCCTTTCAGAATACATTCGTCAAAATTGACAATGAGTTTTTGCAAAAAACCAACCAAAACTAACCAAAAATTATATTCCATAATGGTCATGCGCTAACTATTTCGAAAACAACAGTTCACTCTACAACTAAAGTACTGGAAAGCTTGATCAGTGCTTATTTGGGTATTTTCTAGGGACTAGTGGAAAAAATGTTTTTTTTTTTAAATGATTGGAAGACTTACTAATTAGGTATTATAGTAATCAATTGAATAATTGATAAACCAATTCCGAATTTTAATAAAATTAGAAAATATAAATGCCTATTTGATATTAATTATAATTAATTAAAGATTAATTAAATTTGAATATAATTTTTATAAAATTTTATTTAGACAAAATATATTGATCAATAATCAAAAATATATTTTTTGAAATACAGCTTTATTAATTTAACATAAATCATGTTGTAACATGTATGCATTCCTTTAGTATTTACTAATTTCTTTCGAAAAATTCGAGGAAATCATTTCTCGAAAACCGTCGACCTGATTAATTATTCACACAAAACGAAAAATGATTTCTACTTTGAGTGAAAATCGGCAGTAACTTAAACTCTGTGTTTCAATTGTCAGTTTCTCTCACAAATCGATATAGCTAGTACTGAGTTCTAACATTTTTGTGTATATCTCATATTGTAAAAAGTGCGGAAGATATTCCATACTATAATAAAAAATAAAAGCAGTGTTTTAAATTTGCAACCATCGACACAAAATTTGTTATATTGGTGAAAGTTTATCTTCAAATAAAAATTCGTGGTGAATATATTGAGATTTTGATACGACTTTTTAGTTTGAGTACTTATTTGAAAGGGCTCTGTTATAATGTGGAATGCACAAGGGATGCTCTTAAACGTACCGCTTTTAATGAAAATGAATTGACAGTTTAATACACATTGCGGATTAGGGTATATCGAGATCTAAAACTTTTATTTTTATTTAAATATAATGCTCTTGATATTCCAAGCTATATTAGAAAATGCAGTCCCAGAAGTCCATCTCTGTATGCAACACGAGGACGTTGGGGTCAATCGAACCTTGGGAACAATACGGAAGATCGTTACGACACGATCAGTATTTAAAAAATGTATAAAAATTGCATTTTTTATCTTCCTGTTTGACATGATTTAGGAGCACCATAGAAAAACAATATATATGTACAAAATACTCTCAAATACCCAAAAAAAAATTTTAAATCTTATCCTAATTTTTAGGAAGCTTTTTATTTATGAAAAGCCTATTTTGAAAATTTTCACTAATTAGGATTAATTCATGCGCCAAATTAATAATTTTCATCCAAAAATAAGTTTACCAAAATAAAGATTTACTTACCTCTAGTATGTTTTCTTTCCAAAGTTAGCTTTTTTAGGTCAGCTTCCTGTCTGGCGCGTTTCTCCTCCTCCTCGAGTTTTCTTCTCATGTTCTCGTTGTCGTGCCTTGCTTCGCTAAATGCAGTCAAAAATGTGTCAAATATCCCAAAGAATTCATCGGGTTGCGCGTTGATAGGATCTTCGCCGAATAGCCGAACGGCCCTTTCGAAACGAGTCTGCAAAAGAACAAAGCATCTTTAGCGATCTTTAAATTAACTGTCATTTAGTTTACCTTCATATCTTGGAATTGATCTTCCACCTCCGCTAATCTGCAAGTGGCTGTCGCCTGGAATTCTCTCATTACTGGCATGAACATGTCGTTCGCCAATGGACTTTGAGTTGTGTGATATTCAATTTCCTTCGCCACATCTTTAAGACCTGCCCTGAGCTGCGCCATGTCTTTGCCCAACTCTCCTAAAGACACTTTTGCGGCTTCCCTTATATGAGGTAAGTCTTCGTCTAGCCGTAAGATGTCCTTGAACTTTTTCTCTAATATCTGAACTAGGTAATGTAGCAGGGTCGTTCCCTTGCAAGAACTTGACTTGGTATCGGCCAATCTATTTAAAGACGTCAACCTAAATCCAGAGGCATTGCCTCTAGCTCCCCTGTTCATGTAGTTCCCAAGAGCGAGTATAATTTCTAGTAGTTTTCTAAGACGCCTCGATCTGGACACCTCTCTGGACGCTTCCATGATGCTACTGATCCTGGGAATGATTTCATTGAGTGTCAGCTGAAAGCGTTTCTTGTAATGTAAGCTCCGGAGTCGCTGTTCATAACGAGGAACTCTGCAATAATATAATAATAATAATAATAAATAATAATAATAATATTAATAATAATAATAATAATAATAATAATAATAATAATAATAATAATAATGTTACATACTTGGAAATTTCATAGAGAAATCGATCAGCTCTGGCTAAGGAATCGATTTCATCGCTGTGCTCTTCCAGTAACGCTGACTCCTCCGGACTAGGCGTGAACTTCAGTAGTTGTTCTATCATGTCGATTGGCAAATTTTCTTTACTATCCATACTGAGAATTGCCTTGGTGATATCTTCATCAGACATTTTCAGCTTGGATAATAAAATTGTGCAGTTTTGTGCTCTCCTGCTGTCAATCACTGATAGAACTTTGGTGCGATTCTTGCCAAGTTTGCTCAAGTCTTCTACGGAACCTTCATTCTGCAATAAACATCAGATAATTAATAGCTAATTTCATTCATCTAATGAGCTTACCACAACTCCATTCTTTTGATAGGCACAGAAAAGTTTGTCGATGCAATCCAGCTCCATAGTAGTATACAACTTGGTATCGTCGATTTCACTCCAGATAGTACCTGATAGTTTTGTCTCGGGAATTTTTGACCAGTTGAATGACTTCAGGGGATTGGAAGGTTGAGGAATGTTCTTTTTTACTATCTCGACCTTTATGGGCTCAACTGGAGGCGCCAGAGGAGCACAAGGTGGCGGAGGTGGACCAGACGGCGCTTGAGGCGGTGGCGGAGGTGCTAGCGGAGGTGGAGGTGGTGGCACTGATGAGTGAAATTCTTTCTTAGCAGCATTTGGTGACATATTGATGTTCACGATAGTCTTATTAAGACTTATAGCTTTGGCGTCGTCCGGTATGCTTCCAGAGTTCACAAGCCGCTCTAAAACAAATACAAAACTTCAGCGGCAGAGTAATTATGTAGCGAACTCCCTTACCCAATCTAAACCTTTCCGCTCTTTCCGTATTAACTTGTCTCTCTAAATCGGCGGCTCTGTATTCGATTTCATTTATTTTTTGTTTTGTTTCTATATGCGATGCGGTTTCTTTTTCTAGACGTTCTTTTATCCTGAGCAAACTGGTTTCAATATCTTCTTTCTCCTGAATTCTTTGATCCAATTCTTGTTCCTTTTTAGCTAAACGATTCGACATATCTACATTTTCTTTTTCTAGTTCTGCGGCTTTTTTACGGGCAGCCACCAGCTCCTCCTCTTTCGCCAACAAACGCACTACCTCTTTGACGTTAATATTGATTGGCGCCACATCTGGATCTTTTTTTCCTAAAATGCAATACCAAATTACAGTAGGGTTTAGAGTACTAAAGGCAGACCTTACCAGAGTCGTCGTGCTGTTGTAACACTATCTGTTGAACTACTCTGTCAAACAAAAGCCAATGCTGTGGATGCGATCCGTAATCTAAAGGCAGCATCAAGCAATGCTCTAACATGGATAAAAGGTGTGGATACGCGGCGGTATGGCTCAATTTCTTCCTAATTAGTTCAAACATGGCCGTCGCGCTTTTTGTATCTACGTGGTCTTGTCCAAACTTTCTGGAGAGTTCCTTCTCGTCTTCGTTTCGAACCAGTTCGAAGAAATCCAGATGACGATCTAAAGTTTCATTTTCGTGGCCACGGAGTTTGTCGATGATCGGTTGTATGCCGAGAAGTAGAAATTCGTATCTCAAATGTAATCTATAAATATTTAATTACGTTATATTATGTTTGAGTCGGTTATATATAGAATAATATTACATAGTGCAAATAAATTATTTCTTTATTGGATAAGTAATAAATGCAACTTTACGATTTTATTGTAGTCAAATAAGAGCCCAACAACCGATAAAAATCCGAATAAAATAAATAATAACACATTATAAATTAAATTTCCACTTTACGGGCAGTTATTAATATCTAATTATGCAGAATTCTAAATGCCAATTTAATATTTTTGATATATAACTTTTAACATACAAGAAATTGATAATTTTCTTTTAATTTTTTACAACAATTTTGGTTTGCTCAGAACTACAAAGTTGACATCCTTTTCCGTTTTTAATATAATTATTATAATTTGTCCACTAACCAAAACAGAATTTTTTTTATATAGCGAAATTGAAGGGGCTGCTTTTTTTTCGTTGTTCTGTAATATTTAATTATTTTATACACATATTTTAACATCTACTTAGGAACATTTTATATAAATATTTAAGAACTACATTAAATGTTTCAAATAATCGATCATTTTCTTTTGAATTTTTTTAGTATGCCAATACGCATCTTGCAGTTTGGCTTGTATTTTCACCATTTCTTCGAGAGGGACATCTTCCCCATGATACATAAAAAATTCTCTAGCAGCTTAACTGAATATAGGGCTTGTTCAATAGTTGGTGGTGGTCCCAGATGAACTTCTTCAACTTCTTCTTCCTCTTGGTGCTCTTCCTCACCCTTTCTTGTTTGTCGTAATATGGTTTCCTCTATCAAGTCTGCTGTTGTAGGCCAATCCTGATCTATCACCATAAAATCTTTCAACTCCTCACTTGCAAACTTAATTGTTGTTTGAAACTGCTTTATCCACTCGCTTAGTGGCTGATCATCTTCCAAGTCCTGTTCCCATTCTGTTTCGGTGTTAAATTATTTCTGCTGTCACCTCTTTCCAAGCTTTACTAATAAAGTTGACTGCATTTAGCATATTAATGGAAAATTTGTCTTCCGACTCGATCACTTCCCTTAAAATGTATTTCCTGTATCGACTCTTAAGACTTTTTAATACGCTCTGGTCCATCGGTTGTAATACACTTGTTTTGGCCGGAAGAAATGCCAATTCAATATTCTGCAAATTCGGAATACGGGGATGTGCAGGGCAGTTATCTAAGGGAAGTAATATTTTCCTCCCCTTTAATTCTGCACCCCATTTCCGTATCTCCTCGTCAAAAATTTGCGATGTCATCCATGTAGACTTGTTTGCCTTGTAAGTGACCGGCAAATGCTTGATGTTCTTAACACATCGTGAGTTGATTTTCCAATCACGACTAGCTTTCTTTTTTCTCTTCTACTCATATTGGCAGCTACTAACACTGTTATACGTTCTTTAGAAAGTTTTCCACCCATATACTTTTCGCTTCGAAATTTAAGAGTTTTATCTGACGTCATTTTGTAAAAAATACCAGCATTAAAAATGTCGTCATGAGGGTACTTTTCTGCTAGTTTTGGACACGTCTTCTCCAGCCAATCGTTAGTGACGTTTCTGTCGACATCACGGGCTTCGCCACTTATTTGTCCATAATTTATACCATGTCTCTGTTTGAACTTAACCAACCATCCTTCTGAAGCCTTGAAATCGATAATGCCAAGCTGTTCAGCCAACTTTTCTGCTTTTAGTTTTACGATAGGTCCAGAGAGTGGTACATTTTTAAGACGTTGCTCTGTTGAAACCACTTCAAATTCAAAAAATCTTCAAATTTTGGCTTTCTTGCTTTCTTAGTGTAAGTCCGTATCGACGTCCCACATCACTTTTCTTTTCTCCCCGTCCTATCTCCCGAATTAAAGCAACTTTATCATCAAGAGATAAAATTTTTCGCGTACTTGCTATAACCGCCGTATTCTTCTTTCGGTATAGAGAGTGAGAAATTCGTTATACAGAGTGGATTAATACATAGCTTTGTATGGAGACCTAATAGTAAAACAAATTTTATTCGTAATACAGGGCTTTACATTATACAGAGTTTCTCTATAGGGAATTTTCACTGTAAAGATGCGTAACATTGGTTCCGATAAACACCAAATTTGTTTTCAAGGAATTCTCGATAATTGTAAGTGAATTATTTGAATTGAATTTGAATTATTCCTTTTGAAATGGTTTTCCACATTTTACTACTTCAATGCTTCTCTGGTTAATAAAATTCGTTAGCGGCCCACAATTGATTACTCACCGATTAGTGATTAAATTTAATTTTTAGAGAAAAAATAAGTGAAAATATTTGAAAAAGGGTAAGGAAGTGAAGGCACTGTAAAAAAACTTTTTGAAAGCGTTACGTTCGTTTATTTTTTTATGTTAGGCTAGGGATATTGAGATCGAGTTTTCACTGACTTTTAGGGCACTTCAGAAAATTACCCCCCGAAAAAAATCCTTTTTAACGATTCCAAGTTTATTAAAATGCGTTAAGCCTTTATGAAGATATGGACATTTATTTAAGAAAATAAAAAACACCTTCACCCACTTTCCTTGCAGGAAGAGTAACCAGCATTATACCAAAACCTTTTAACTATGGTTAACATTACGAATTTCCCTAATACCGTTACTACCTTTATTGTGGCACCCAGTATTTTAGACTATTTAGACTCTATTTTGAATGGGTCATTCTATGGTGTTTTTTTCACAAACTTGAAGATTAGATTGAATTGGAAAATAAAACGACTGAATTCAATGAATCACTCCGATTAATATTATTTGAAACAAAGCTGTACACAGCATATGAAAAACTAGACATGTAAAACATCATCGATAAGTTTTTTGATGGTAGTCCTGTTGATAACTGTTTCTACAAGAAAATGAAAATGTCTTTTAGCTTGTTTAAGACGACATACTGCATTTTTTACTACGTTTATTTTGATTAAATTAATTTTGGGATTGATTGATACAAAAAAACCTTACCTAAATTCCAAGTTTTCTTGTCCTAGACCATAATTTAAAACAGCATTGACAAACGACATGATGGCCGTCTTAAGGTTAACCTCATCGCGGTAGATTCCAGTGGATCGGTCCAAATCGTTAATAATACCCTGAAATCGCGTCCTTTCGAAAGCATATTTTTGGTAATGATGCATTGCATCCAGAACTTTTTTGTGACCACCTGCCACCAAACATACAGCCCCCAATATCTCCAAAACGGCAATTTTGGTTTTGATGTTTTCCGTGCTTAGAGACTGGGCTATGGTGTTAATACTCGTGGGATGAGCTAGAACATGTGCTCTACCGGTCTACAAAAGCACACCCGTTACAATACATTCTGTGTATGTCAAGTAACAAAACTTACCGAGTTATTCATAAGAGCTTTAACACAGCCAATAATACTAGTATGTATTGAACTTTGAGCGGTAAAATAGTCCATTCTTTCTAAGAAATCTAAAAGTACTTGTAGGCCTTCTAATTCTATAAATTTAATGACGAAACTGTGAGTCGATGTACGAAGGGCGGTTTTCAAAGCATCTATTTGGGTCGTCCTAGATCTAACTTCTTCTTCGGTATTAGTTTCAGGGTACTGTAACTTTATGATCACGATGATTTCCAAGGAGAATTCACATTAATTAAATTAACTTACTTCTGCTAAAGTCTTCAGTCTTTCGATGTAATGTTCAGGAGCATGATCTGCCTGGTCCATAATTTCCTCCCCACCCTTCCTTGAGCAATAAATCTGCCATTTCTTCTGAGGCGGCAGACTCAACATGGCAGCCTTATTGGGAGCAGTCAGGTCGAGTTCTTCCTATAAAACGGAAATGCAAAGCCTCAACATCGTGGAACTTGTACCTGATGCGTAATCTAATATATTAAAATGGAAAATCATTCTCATTGGTCGTGAAGAATGCAATGAAATTGCCGAATCGTTGAATGCAAAGAAATTGATTTTTATAAACCCAGCCCAAAACCCACCAATTCAAAGAGAAGCTTCTAAATTTTCGATTTTTAATATTTAGCTTTCAGAGCATTTTCTTTCGTAAATTATATTTCTGTGAGAAACTTGCGAACGAATATATGGATCTATATTAAAAAATAGTTGCTGTTGCTGTTGAATATTAAATAATTCTAAATCGAACACCCCATCATCTGACGCATCACACATTTACAAATTGTAAGTGAAATTTAAAGGAAATCTTTAAATGAATGTACGAACTGATCAAAATTAGACCAAAGAACCAAAAAAAATAAATAAATAAACGTTGGGAAAAAAAGATAACGTGAAATCATTTGCGTTAATGTCTTAAACTAATTAAACTTAATTGTACATGTTAAAAACAGTTGTTGATTGTTTTTTTTATGATTGTTGATTCCGGTTTAAAAGAAGTTTACTGCCTACTTAAACTCTAGAGATTCGCTAATTCGAACACCACTAATCCGGATTCTCCAGGAATCCGGACAAAATTTAAATATTACTTATTTACATTATGTATTCTTCGATAATTTCATGTAACTTTTATGGTGTTGTCTAGACGTGCGAAGACGAGTCGAGATGTTCTTACAGGTTAAAAAGAATCATGGCACCAAAGAGAGCACACAAAACTGTGACACTAGCGGAAAAATATGATATTTTAGAAAAATTAAAAAATGATGTTAGTGGCAAGGTATTGGCTATAAAATATGGAGCTGGTACGTCGACTAATTCAAATATAAAGCAGAAATCTGGGCAAATAAAGAGCTAACAGCTAGCATGAATTTTTAAATATGTATTGTAAATGTTTTGAGAGTTTTGAAATGACTGAAAATCAGAAAATAAATATTTTTTTGCTTTATTCTTTGACATTTTGGTTACAAATTATAAACCCTTATGTGAGTGAATTCTTCTATACTAATGTTATCGTCTTGTTTCAGCTACAAGGGCAGCGCCAAAATTTCCCGGCCTGAATATGAAAGAAACAAAGTAGAGTAACAATTTTTTATTATTTTTCAATATAAGCACCCTAAATCTCAATACACTTATTACATCTCTTTATTAACAACTCAATCCCTTTAAAAATTATTATTTTGGTTTGTCTGCCAAATGAGCTAAAACAGCTTCTTTAACTCAACTTCGTCGTTAAACCGCCGTCCACGTAAGTCCTTTTTCACATATCCAAACAAATAATAGTCGCTGGGGGTAATATCTGGACTATAGGGAGGATCATCTATCTGTTGGAACCCACACTCTAAAATGGCAGCTTGTGCAACACTAGCAGTATGGACAGGTGCATTATCGTCCAAAAGATGCACTCCTCTGGTCAGTTTTCCTCGAAGTTTTGCACGTATGCAGTCTCTCAATTTATGTAATAATGTTGCGTAATATTTACCATTGACAGTGGTATTAGTTTCTTTAAAATCTATCATAGGAATTCCTCTACAACCCCAAAAGATCGTGGCAATCACCTTTTTTGTTGACTGGCAGACTCTGAATTTTCCTGGAGGTGCTTCACCCTTACGACGCCACTCCATTGATTCTTTTTTCGATAGAGAGTGATAATAGAGAACCATAGTTTCATTTCCCGTCACAATAGTTTCTATCACAGGCTTCGGTTCCGAACCATGGAGTTCCAAAAAAGACCGCGCACACTCGACAAGGCGTTGTTTTTGAATAGCCGAATGTTTTCAGTATCCCATCTTCCACTAACCTTATGCATACCTAAATGATCATGCACGATTCGACGAACACTTGTATCAGAAAGCTTAGTAATTTTTGAGATTTTCTTGACCTTTAAATATCGATCACTCAATACCACCTCTTCCACAACCGCAACAATATCTTCCGTTATCACCTCCACTGGTCGACCTTGCTCCATTCGAAAACGTTTTACCCATTATTTCACTACAGAATACGAAGGAGAAGTTTGGCCGTACACACCACCCCGCCTTTCTTTAATAATTTTAGCTGCTAACCCTTCTTTTGTCAAAAACTTTATGACTGTTCTATACTCAATTTGCGTTATTTTTTCGGACACGTCTTGCTTAAAATGCTGTGAATAAAAAACTATTTGACGCAAGACTTCAATTTTGTTTTCGCAGCCTACTAAGATATATATTTAAAAGAAGACAAAGTTTTATCGTGATACTGGAGCTGCATCTATGTCAGGCCGGGAAATTTTGGCGCTAACCTCGTACATCGAAAATTGTTTTCCTGCAGCGGGCCGTAAGAAAACTCTACGAAATGGAGAATACCTTCAAATGAAGCAGCCTGAAAAACATGTAACCATTACATCGCATAGTTTAAGAGAAAAGGCGATTCAACTTTATGCAAAATGTTATGGTGATAACAACTTTAACGCAAGTAGAGGTTGGGTAACCAAATTTAAAAAGAGACATGCTATTCGTAACCTCAAAGTTAGTGGGGAAAAATTATCTAGTGACCCAAGTGTTGTTAAGCCTTTTCTTCAGAAATTAACCAACAAAATTACAACGCAGACGAATCAGCACTGATCTGGAAAATTTTGCCAGATCGTACTTTGGTATATCATAAAGAGAATTCGGCACCTGGGCGTAAAGTATCTAAGGAAAGAATAACTTTTGTTTCTTGTGCAAATGACGATGGATCGCATAAGCTAAAGATGATGGTTATCAACTCAAAAAATCCGAGGTCATTTAAGAATTGTTCATTCCAGTTGAATATCATGCTACCAATAAAGCGTTTATGAGTTTAGCTTTATGTGTCAAATCTTTTGTTCAACAAGTAAAAACGTTTCAGAAAGATAATAATATGAGCGGCAAAGCACTTTTACTCATTGATAATGATCGAAGTCATTCAACAGAAGATGAACAAACCATTTATTTGCATTATTTTCATTGTCGTTCTAAGTCAGTAAGTGTAAGAACTGAGCGTGGGTGTTCTTTTTCTTTTATTTTTTAGGTGTTTACATTTTTGTGTTAACGTGTATTTGGTGATTTTTTATAGCTTTTAAAAAGATTCTAATAATCCGGATGTTTCCCTAATCTAAGAGTTCCACTGTATATTATATTTTTTACGTCATGGATGCGAACGCAAATTATACCGACCGAAGTTTTAACAATTAACCCTGTTTTAATTACAGCAAATTCGTCGAAATGGCTGGCAAAAGTATTTTTCCTAACAAAGACGCGAAAGTCTTATTTTGTGAAACAGACTGCAAGAAGAAACCAGTCGAGCCACGAGAAAAAGAACCACTAATTGACGCGCTCTAAGACAACAAACTTCGGAATTAGCGATCAAACGAGCTTATATTTTTTTAATAATAAGGAAAAAATTATACGTGCGTCGCGCTTCATTAAACGAGAAGTGCCGGAAAAAGCCGTTTGTTTTTATTGAAGCTTTTTACTGCTATCTTAACGGATAATTTTGTAACGATTAAGTGCCGACTACCGGAAAGAACGTCTAAGATTTGCAGAATCAACGCACAGAAAATTATATCTAAATTACTGTGAATAGATAGAGTTAACAAAAACAAAACAAAATATCAAAGGGTTGCAATTAACGAACTGTCCCGCAGGAAAATTATATGAACGAAATCACTGAAGTCATAGTATGATTTCGATGATATTCGATATCAACTTTTTTAGAAAAATGGCTACAGAGCTATGATAACCTTATTTTTTCTTGTAACCTTATGTGATTACATAATTTTTTGATTAAAAATAAACATCCCCTATATCGATAATTAGGGGAAATTGCCTTAAAATTGACCCTCAAGCTACATGCTGTTAAACTAAGTGTTTAAAATTAAGAGAACCTGAGATCCCGTATATTTTTCATCCCGATATCCCGAAAAAATCCTAAAATTCTGAAATAATTGGCTTCCAACTAACAATATTGCTACTTTTGTTAAAAATATCTTTTGTCAAGAACAAGCCTCAGCAGCCAAGATGAACCTATTACCATAAATCTTGCCAGGGACTCTGATTCTCAAAAAATGAGTTGGCACTCAGCTACCTGAAACCAGCTAACAATACGAGTCAAAAACAAACTAGATAAGGCTATAACAAATATTGAACGGTTCTAATTGAAAATGGTGGATTGTGCCGGTTACATTTGTTTACAATTCAACTCACCACTGTAGAATCAGAACGACTTTTTTTTTCTGCCCCATACCTTGCGGTTAGCGAATTCCATATTAGATTCCCTGGTGTCTAATTCTAAGCACTCTGGGTACTGACTTTCTTTGTTTTTAAGTTACGTATTATGCAATGTTAAGTAATATATTATTGGTTACGATACAATACATATTATATTTCAGCAAGTGTTAGTTAAAAAAAAATATTTTTATTTCACTATTCTATTCGCGTAACATCGGTAAATGTCATTTACAATAGTGGGTGCGAAACACCTGCGAAAATTTAACTAAAGTTAGTTAACTAATATTTTTAAGATAAAAATAAAAAAAAATAAAAAAAAACATGAATATTTATATACAAATCTTTACAAATATTCACATATTTCTCTTAGTAACTTTAAAATGTTGAATAAGTGGTTTTGACAGCAGTTACTTTTTGTTTTATAATCCATATGCAAAAAACTAGAAGGCTATGCACTAATTGGAGTATGTTATAACCTAGGAACAACACAAAATATTCCTTTAGATTAGTATGTTATACAACAAGTTTAATAAATAACACTTTAGTCACGAGCAGGTTTTATCTCGAGAGGAGCAAATGTTTAATAAACGAGTGAAGTGATCAATGGAACTAGCAAATGTCAAAATACCGTCATCCTGATCAGCGGAGTGAGACCACTCTGTAAAAAGAAAATGCCGCATAGGGGAAATCTGTTAAGATACCTTCATTTGCACACCAAACTAAACTACTTAATACTCATATGGTCCTGAAGATTGACGAAATCGTCCACAAACAAAACTCGAAGACTTTAAAATTTGGTTATACCGACGAATTTTTTTAATTTCTTGGGTTGATCATGTGCCAACATGGTCGTTTTAAAAATGCTTCAAAAGAAACCGAAGTAATGGACATTATTAAAAAACGCAAATTAGATTATTTGGGATACATAATGAGGTACCAAAAGAAGCCTCACTTGATACTCCAAGGAAAGATCACATACAGAAGAGGAGCTGGAAGATGCAGAATCTCGTGGTTTAAAAACTTTCCAACTTGGTTCCGATCGCTTTGTCTGTCGCGTACATCCGTATCGGACAAGCGCATTCAGAAGAAGAAGAAGATTAGTGCATAGTTCTAATTATAGCCATATAGCTACTAAAAGTACTGCCGATGTTAACAATACAGAAAGTTTTGAAGCCACCATGAAAAAAATGTTGAGAAGTTTTTTCTCTAAACATGTCCAGATCCCGTTAAATGTGAATAAGGCGTATCAATTTTTAGAGTGTATATAATCTAGTAGCTATATGTCTACACATAGAAGGTTAATTTTCTGACACAAAATTAATATATATATATATATATATATATATATATATATATATATATATATATATATATATATATATATATATATATATATATATATATATATATATAATACAAACTAACCATTTTTCATTTAATTGGATTGTCTATGACGATAACATAACGATCATGAATCATTTTTATAAAACACCCATGTTTGACGGTCGTATATCCAGTAAACAAAAAACCCCATTTCAGTTTTCAGGTATGTATGTATATACAGCAATTATATTCATACATATAAAACCAGCTAACGGATTAAAATACAACATGGGGAGCGTAAAATCCAAGTAATAAATTAAGATCAAGAGAACATCGATTAGAAAATAGAAAGCACCGAGACTTATTAAAATCCATCTGCGCGCAATCAATTTATTGACTGCTAGATCAGATTCCCAATAATTATGGTAAATCGGTTAGAAATGCCAGACAAATTGGTAGCCGTAACGTTATCGTATGAAATTATGCGGATACGGCACCAGAAATGAACGACATGCATAAACTTGACATACAAACGGTACTTTTACTTTTAATTTTGAATAATAATAAAATCGATACCATGTGTACTGAGCGAAACGACGCATTTGAACGCACCGAAAAAAATAATAGCAATAATATCTTAAGATGAACTCTAGTTGGATGATAATCATCATCACAAAATTTTTGATGGTCCCAAATACAGGAATTATAATGATTTATTACAGCGTTTCATTGTTCTAACACTTCTGAATTACCTGAAATATAGAAAACTGATCGCCTTTTATATCTTTTTTTTTTAGAATTCTCGCAACTAAATGATAAAATATTTCAATAAAAATTATTCAATGAAAAAGGGCAATGAAGAGCAAAGGTAAAGAATACCGCTATATTTTTATTCTGATGTGCAATTTATTTGCATGCATATACACGTTTAATGTTAATTATTGAAGTCAAATACTGCTTCGGGGGAATACCGATATGGTTGCAAGATATTATTATTATAGATGTAGAAATATACGAAGTGAAAGTGTTTAGAAATGTCGATCGTATTGATTATAATTTTAAGGTAAGTCCTACAGTGAAGATGCACGTAAATGTACTTAAAAAGTAGAATTATCAGGTACCTTTTTGATAAATAGGGGTATATCCGAAAAAACCTAAAGAAAATTGTACAAGTAAAGTAGATATTTAGGTATTAGGTACTATATTACTTAATATTTTTGTTATTTCCAGATTTCTTTTCAAAACAGTTCTACAGCTGTATAAAACATGTGATTTTTGAATACTTATAGTTTCTTGATTTGACAGCGTTCAAAAACTCTTTTTCTACTAGCGAAAATGTGCCCAAAAACTAACGGTCATAGAAAAAGTATAGTATGCAACACGTTCGTTATTAAACACTCGCTCCGCTGCGCTCCGCTCGTGTCAAATAAACTCGTGAGTCAAATGCCGTTTACCACACTTGTTGCATAATATACTATTACAATATATACATTATGTGGGTATAATTAACCCACAGTTGTTGCTGCAGTTGTGAATTGTATTATAACTGATATAACATTTCTTATAATTTGAAAATAATACATAGGAACAGAAAAGCAAAAATTTGAAAATAAATAAAATATAACAGTTTCTTTATTTGTTTTCTGTACTTATATTCTTGTTATCCATTTATTATCTATATATTATTATATAATAAGAAGTATCTATATGGCGGTTAATATTTAATATATCACAAATTACGGAATGAAACAGGATAAGTTACATATATTTGTAAAATAATATACAGGATAGTTTAGATAAACCGTGATACTCTCGAAAGCATTTTCCACTTCGTATAAATATGCCCACAGAAGTTGTTCAATTTTCACCAAAGTTCCAAAAAATCGTACATCCAACAACTATTTTTTCTGAGAATACAGAACAATTCTTGTGAGTTTTTTAATCTCGTGTAATAATGCCGCCGGAAGCTGTTTAATATAAAAATAATATATTTCATTTTCCCAAGAACATATAGTCATATTTTTCAAAGAAACTTTCTGTAGTACCTAATATTTATACATGCTCTGGATTCCTCTTAACTTGGTTAAGTTCTGTAGAAGTCAACACGATGATTTCCGAATCGTCAGCCAGTTCGATTTGTCAACAATCAGGAATCCAGAAGATATAGTATAGTATAGCAGTAAGTAACGTTGGTTGACAGATTTATAACGAATCTTAAAAACAATATTCTGCATCAACATGGTTCATATATAATTTTTTTCATTATTTCCTTCATGGATCTATTGTTGGGGATTAAAACCATAGTTGTTCCAAAAGACTCCCTTACATAATTGGGAAATATTAGTTGTTCAGTTAAGGTATAGTTGTATTTGACTGGTGCTGCCAAATTTGTTAATTTAATTTTATAATGGTAAACTTACCACCAACTCAGCAAATTTGGCATCTAATTCTTCCTGCGAGGGCATTGGTTGAGTGGGGGTTATAGCCTGCAACGTTAATGTTCCCGTATTTTCAGCCACACAGTAAGTTATTTCCGGTGGTTCGTCATCCTGAAAAATACAAAAACTCAATTATAGTTCCTTGGACTCAGAAAACTGATATTAATATAGTGTTGTAATTGAACCTTATGACACGGTGGATCCTCATAAAAAAAACTACAGTTTTTTAAAGAATTTATTTTAAAGATAAAACAAAAAATACCACAATAATAATAAAAAATACAGAATTGCAACATATATTTAACTTGTTCTGAAAATTAACATTAAGTTATATTTTTATGTAATGAACAGGGTTTTAACGCTACTACTCTGTACTAGTTTAGGTTTTAAACCAAGAGTTGTCAAAAAAATGCAATAAATAATAAGCTACAATAGTCAGGGCGAAATGATGTATTGTTGAGCTGCATAGGGAAGCAATTTTTATGAAATAATTCGGATCTTTGGAGCGATATCGTTGAAATTTAGTCTCTAGATTTAAGCAAATTTTAAACCAAATAACTAAATTCAAATCGAGAATGTCGAGGCATGAGTTTTAATATCGAGGTATCAATTCAAACCAGAGAAAGTAATAATAAATAAAACCGTACACGTTCGGTGATGATAATCAGAAATTTTTAACAACTTCGCAGCAAAATAAACACGAACCTAAATATCAAGCACTTGTTGGTCACTTACTTGTACTACATAAATTAATGTTTTTGGGTTACTTTAAGAAAGCATTTAGTTTCAGAAAGTAAGTCCTATTCATGCACTATTCATTGAATAAATTTAATCCATCTTTTAACGTTACTGAAATTTGATGGAGCTATATAATTGCAATGAAAAATAAAATTATTACATATGACCCTCTTTCATATTTTCAGGACATAGGGTTAAGTGAAATGTTAGTTCTACCTTAGTAGAATAATTCTAGTGCCGTGTTTTTTGGACACAACCATTGATGACAAATCACCAGTACTTAGTTTAATGACATTGGCATGGCTCAGGCTCGGCCCTCTGGGTCTATACCAGTAGAACGAAAAACACAAATTCAACTTCTGTTGTTGGGGAGCAAAAGCCCACCAGTTGGCTAAGATATATTTTCTTTTATGTAAATGACCTTCATTTTTATTTACATTGGTGAATCTCACTTCATCCGCACTTTTTATTAGTGATAAGATGGGCACCAAAACCGCAAGACAAAACCCCTATTGATTTATTTTGGGAATTAAGTCTACAAAAAACTCTGTGGAAATAATTTAATAATAATAATAATAATAATAATAATAATAATAATAATAATAATAATAATAGTAAATTATAAAAGAAGAGCCTCAGAGTTGGTGAACTAATAGAGATAGCAAAAACTTTTTATATAAAAATTGCTTAAGAAACGTATTCTACCTTATTAAAAAATTGTTGTGGAAACAATTGTTTTTACAAAGGTCCACCCAACTAAACTAGATAGACCCAAATCGGTTTACATGTCAAGCGCTCGATTTTTGAAAAACATTTAATGGTTAAAACCGCATGGTGATATCATCTTCACTACCAACCTTGATATAGAGCCTCTTCAATTTTCGAACCTTTTGAAAATTGCCCATAATTTTTTCATTTATGAAAATTTTGGATTCGGATAAAAACATTATTAAGGTATTTTTTAAGGCAAATGCAGTGGAGTAATCAGATTTTTTCTACAGTTGTCCGTTTCTTCATAAATGATTATAAAACTTTCTTATGTTTTGTGCCAATCATAGTTGGATATGGTCTTAAAATTTGTTTTTTATCTGTGATGAAAAAAGGGCGAAAATATAAGTCATTTTTTGTTTATGAATTAGTAGGCCATGCATAATATGTTCAAAAAGGCGTCACCTTTAAAATAATTTAATAAACACAGAAACTTCAAAAAAGATAAGGTCAATTTAAAATAACTTAAAATAAGTGAAAAACACGAAACCTAGGATCCATTTAAAATTTTAATTTTAATTTTAGATATTCTTTTTAATATGTGATTATAATGTTTTTGATTATAGTTATTTTAACCTAATTTTAACAAAACACAATAAATGTTAGAATACAAAATATTCAAATTTAACCTTTTACATTAATTATATTTTAACGTAAATATTCAAATTGGGTGCCGGCCTCTTCAATACACTGAACTCATCTTTTTCGTACTAAATGGCAACTTTTAACTAAATTAGTAGCCAAATGTTTCCAAGTGACGTATAAAACAAAAGACTATCAAATTTATAAGCCTACATAATATTTTTTTAAATGAAACACCTTGAATATTATTTATGTGTTTAATAGAATGTCCGATTCCGATTACAATGATGTAACAAACTTTATATTTTAGGCCACTCGTTTTTGACAAATCGAATCAAATGAAATTATATAAAAATTTCCTATTTTTGCCGATTTGTCAAAAACGAGTGTACTAAAATATTAAGTGTGTTACATCGTTGTAATCGGAATAAGATATTCTATTAAACACATATATAATATACATGGTGTTCTATTTTAAAAAATATGATGTAGGCTTATATGTTAGAAAATTGATAGTGTTTTGTTTTATACGTCGCTTGGAAAAAAAACTTTGCTACCTACCCTGCATTTTGTTTTTTTTTTGTTTACCTGGATATCTCTAAAAAGGAAAAAGTTACAGCCAATTAAAATGTTATCAAGATAAATTGAACCCACGGTTTGAGTAGTCCATCAAATCTATGGGATGCCCATAACTTGCACTCCATATAGATCAATAGAAGACTTGTTCAATACATTTAGAGGCCCGCTTAAATATAGAAAACAAAGAAAATTATGTTTCATTTTCAACTACCTGTATCTTTTAACATAAAACATTGGCCGCCACATGGAACAAATCTCTAAATAATGATTTATAGTACACAAGTGATGGGACACTTTGTGTACATAAGTTTCATGTGCTTGCGAGTCAGCTTCTTATCGATTTTAAAGTGTAACAAAAACAGGGTAATTAAGAAACACGTCCATCACCACGTGTAATAAATAAAACTCGAAATCTTGCGTGCATACATCGATAGCCCCGTTTGCCATCTTGGAGACACTAAACAACCGGATATGTTCAAACTTTCGATTTTAAGACACCGACCCGTTCACAATAATAATGTTATAATGTATTATACGTCTAACCGGTGCCGCATTCTTTTAAACATAATAAGGTTATGTTATTTTTTTAATTCGACAACTGCTTTCGGAGAAAAGGATTATTACTCAGCCGTATGCTCGTCGCGAACACGGCGTGTAAAATTTCGCCTTGGGGGAAGAAATCATGTAATCCAATTAATGCCTTCTAGAAATTACGGGGAGCTTATATTTGTTTCTATTACTTTCGGAGAAATCGCAAACACATTATTAAAAGCAAACCGAATGATGGTCGTGTATCAAAAAAATTTGTAAATATTTGTTGTAGAAATATTCACTAGAAAGGCCTTGCCTATCCTTATAAGAGAGGTATTTGAAGCTGACATCAAAAAATGTTGTCATGTTGACATTTAACATGAGCACTGACAGCCTTTACATTACATTATCTCAGTAATCTCGATCTAAACTAAAATAAAAACCTAATTTAATTATACTTCTTTATAAATTTTCTTTTCATTTCAACAAATATCTAAGTAGTACCAGATGTACAAACATCCAGTTATAATATAAATAAAATACACACATAAATATTATTATAAAAATGAAGTATTTATATTTACTAACGAAAATGTTTGATTTGATATTATCATTTGTATGATATGATAATCTACCGCGTGTTCAATTAAGAAGACAATCGGCCCCACCTGAGAATTGATTGTCCGGTGAAAAACCTAAAATAACTAAAAAAAATGCTGGAAATTATTTTTTATTAAGGCCGCTAAGGAGCGTAGCGATATTCTTGAATTTAATATCGAATTTTTTTATGAATAATCTTATATTACAAATAGCTAAAATAGACACTGCTATAAAGTTGCCGTTTTTTATTTATTTTTTTAAGATATATTCCTCAAAAGAATTAAATTCAAAGATGTCACTTTTATTGCAGCAAAAGATAGCTAAATTAGAGTTTAACTTGCTAGTGAAATCTGCGCTTCGTTATCTTTTTCCTAGCCTATAATACCAGTAAAACAAATAAAAACTGGAAATTATGCGGCATCTTTGGAAACCTCCTCAGTGTACCTATCATTATTGAATCCTAATTGTCGTTCTTTTAGCAAAATATGTCCAAATTTACTGTTAAAATACAAAAAATATTATTTAAAATACCAATAATAATTAATACTCATTGAGTATGATTGACTAATGCTTTGAAAAACAAAGTAGCAAAAATTACAATGCTGGTTTGCCTTGTGTAAAAAAAATCTTTTTTAAAATATTTAAAACGCAATTGTTTTTTATTATTTTCATATATTGCATTGCAATATTTAATGATATGTGAAAGAGAAATAATTATTATTGACATTTTATAAATAATGTTGGCCAACCTAACCAAAACTAACGATTGCTAGTATTTAATAAGGGTATACATCCTGAAAATAGTCCCAAACATAACATCATTCTTTGTTTTCATTTCTTTTACTGATCTAATTGATAAGAAAAAGGCATTTTAAAATGAGATTCGGTTTTCACCAGCGTGTTAAGCCCTCATTTGTAATAATACCTTTTTTTTTGTAATAATAAACAAATTTCGTTTCAATCATTCTGAAAATATTGACATTTATTTCCCAAAAAGCTCGGACAAAAAAATTTCTACAAAAAAATCGAATTTTATCCCAAATTTAAAACAGTGTTTATTTTATTTATTTGCAATATAGGATTATTTTTTGGAAGAAAAGGGGATTAAAAGTTGCAAGTCGAGAACTTTAGAAATTAAATAATTTTTTTTTGCATTTTCTTTTGGTGGCTTTACTAATAATCTTTTTCGTCTCAAGTCTTTACGGCAATTACTTTGGGTCGCCAGATATATTTATGAATTCGCCCATTGATTTAATTCCAACATGAAACTTTTTCCTTTTTAAGAAAATATAAAAAAATGGCTAAATGTACGTAATTACGTAATTATAGTTAAAGCAAATAGTTATTTTAGGACATTTTTTAAATAATAAAAAAAATGCGTTTCTAAGTATACCAATATTTAAAGAAAATGATGTTAGATCATCAAATGTGTGTCATGTAAATTGATTTGAGAAAAATTATATTCGTAAAACATCGAGAACATCGCATTCTCTCATTATATAAAAGACGAAACTAGGCGTCTCTTTCTATTGTAAAATTTACCCCATTTTTCTATCACGCTGGTTCGTTGGATTATTTTCTCAAAATATACCCCGATTTCTTTAAATTTTCATTTTTTCACTTTTTCTGTGTGAAATTTAAGAGCATGTGCCAAAAATTATTCACTTAAATACGAAAACGTCGTAAGGGTTCCTATCTAATATTCATAACGTGTGGGCAGAATAAGTTCCAATAAAACTATAACTGCCAATGAGATTCAGAAACTATAATTTGTATTTTTGCTAGCCGTATCTGGTTGCTAGTTGTACAAAAACAAGACTGACAGGTGTTTTTAATTTCCTATAAACAATCAATCGAGATCGAGACCTCCCGGTATGTACAAAAATTCTAATCAAATAATGAAAGCAGGCTAGGCACACCGCAAAAGAATGTTAGACCTTGATCGCTTCGCACGATATTTAGTTCGCGGACGTTATGGTCTTCGACTTGCATTGTTGTTCAATTGCCTGCCAATCGGGGGATGTGTTACAGAACCAATAATAACTAATGTTCGAAATTTAATAACGGTTGCTTCGCTAATAATAATTGCTATTAACAGCTATGTCGTCGAGCTACTTCAATTCTCTTTCGGAGTACTCAGTCAAATAAACTTGAACAGATCTTGATAAAACGAAAAATGAATTTATCTAATACACCCAATAGTTAGAAACACCTCAGTTCATTTCGACCAGCGCACTTAGAATTGCGTAAACTTTATTTCCTTTTTCTACCATGTCGCCTTCCTAAAATAAAGCTCTGAACATTACCGATGTTGTGGGTAATTTTTCAAACAAATTTCCACAGGCTACTGTAATACTATTTACAAATCTCCTGGATTCCTTCTGCGTCTGAACTGAACTGTTAATCTCTGAAGAAGCCAACGTGATGATTGGCGAAACCACCGCAAGTTCGATCCATCAAAAACCAAAGCAGGAGGAATTCAGAAGATTTGTAAATAGTATTATAGATGCTCTAAAGTACCAAGTTATCAGTATGAAGTTAACGAAAACATACATAAGTACAGAACAAAATCAACGGACTATCAGTCTCAATGAAAGGCAAATAACAATAATAGGAGAAAAATATATGTTTTTATTATTATCATTATTTATTTTTTATGAGAAAATGCAAATTCATATAACAAGGATCTCTAAGTTAATACTTACGAAAAGCTAGAGTTATTTCTAACAGACACATAGATTTATGAAAAATTAAAACGACGAAAATACAAAAAAAAACAAAATATATATTATTCATTAATGAGAAAGGATCTAAGTTCTAGAATCGAGATTAGCCCTGCATAGAGATCCACCTCGGCTATCATAAACTCTCATCTTAGCTAAGTTCTATGCTCTTGGAAAAACAAGTGTACAGCTACGGGAATAGAACATTAGCAACTCCACTTTATACACACTTCAGTGCGCGGATGAACAGGTGTTAATAGCCAACGATAAGAACGACTACAAATCTGCAATCCGAGTACCTAGTTCCAAATACAGATAAAACCAAATATCTACCGATAGGGTCAGAACTATCTGTGTGCTCTTGTCAAGAATATAATTATTTGGGAGTGACCTTTGATCAAAATTAAACTGACTACAAAGAAATCAGAACACGAGTAAGCCAGGCAAGGGAAAGTATATGTTTGAATGGAGTATTTTGGAGTAAAATGATTGGAAATAGACAAAAGTACAACATCTACAACTCATCTAGGTTAGAAGCATGGTGATTAAGGGAAGATAAAACAAGAAGAGTAAATGTATTGGAAATGGACGTGTCTAGTAGGTCGTTACGAATATCTGGAGAAAAACAAACGAAGAAGTTAGAGAAAGAATGGAAATACACGAACCTCTGACAGATGAAATGGAAATCAAATAACTGATTTGGTTAGTCTTCTCCATCCAACGCATGGACAAGACTTCTAAAGATGGCTATGGAATGGACGCCACCATTCAGAGAGAGGAAAGGAAGGTCCAAGAAGACCTATACAGAAGGAGTCAGGAAGGCACTAAGAGATGGCCAAGGGAAGATAGAAGGCAATGGAACCTAAAAACTTATTGGAGTTGAGATATTTTGGAAAACAGTTACTAATACTTAAGCTGTTGAACATAATGTAGTAGGAATTTCGATCAAAGTCAAGATCAACCGTTAAGGAATCTCCTTTTCACGTTGGCTAAAGTACATTTTAAGAGCAACATTAGGAAATGTTTGAAGATGTTAGAATGGTCTTTATCAATAATATAGCGTAAACCCTGAACACCAATGTTACTGGAAAAACAACTGACAATATTATTTATTAAATACGTCGAAACGTAGCCAACTAACCAATAGAAAACATTATGATTTGTGAAAATGGAATTTTCTCGTACATTTTTGTACTTTACCTGCAGGGTTATGAGGTATAAAAATGAAGACGAGTCGAAGTTTTCATACTAAAAGTGAAATGCATACTTTGCTTTATAAAACGATAATTTACCATGACCTAGTTTTTTAAGCCACCCGCATAAACTTTAATATTTTCGATCCTATTGTTTCGAAACCAATAAATAAACCGATGACTTTGACTAAACTTTCACGTTCTAATAGTCAAAATTACCAAGGTTACAAATATGAGTTCTGCTTATCACTTTCTGGATGGACTAATTTGAATTTGACAAATAGATTTTATCCGAAGATAGTTGACAGCAAAGGCATGGGGAAACAAACACAATTCTTAGGCAGGTTAATACAGTCCCTGCTGAACATGGCATATCTATATTTAATGTAAATTAATAGGAGTAAGAAAGACGCTCATAATACCTGAAGGCAGCCGCACCAGCCGCGCTTGGAACGCACGGCCGGCATGGCTGGGATATGCAGCCGGGGCAGAGCTCCCGTTATGTTGTCCCAGGCCGGAAGCTTGAACGAACACTTCGGCAGACCCTGTAATACAGAAAAACAAAAGCTGAAAATAGCTATTAACTCTTTATATTAAACTTACAATTAAGATAAAACTTTGTTCGACCATACTACAATAAATTGCAATATTACAGTATTTAAATTTCAAAGCATAAGCATAACAATACCAAATATGGAAGAGTTATTCAAAACATAGCTTTTGGGTTCTCTAGAAAATATCTTATTTTAATTTTCCCTACATACATAGGAAGGAGAATATAAAAATTTTGGCTCTATTTTTGAATTATTGTCTGATGATTAAGAGCTCGATTAGCTCCAGTTTGATAGTTATAGTTGTCTGGAAGAATATTTATGAATGTATGTATATCCATGTACTCAATATAAACAATGTACTACGACTAAAAATATTTGCAGTTGACTTAAATTGGGATCTTTTAAACACAATTAATTTTGAATTATTTTCTGTTGATTAACAGGTTGATTACTTTTGGGGACGATAACGTTTCTGTGAATATTAGCTCCAGTTTGATAGTTATGGTTGATTAATGCTTGTCTGGAAGAATGTTTATGAATACATGTAAATTTCTCAAAGAAACTTCCACTGTAATACTTTTCATAAAACTTCTGGATTCCTCCTGCGTCGGTTTTTGTTAACTCGAACTAGTTAACGTTTCATTGACTGAAACTCGCTCGCATTTTACTATGTACTTGCTTTTATATTGTTTGAGAGGGGCGGAGCTAAATGAGGGCCATAAACACCGTCGCGGATAACTGATTCCCATATTGGTGACAGATAGAGACCTGATTCGCAGTTAAGATTATTAGGTTGCTTATAGATTTCTATAGACTCTCGGATTTTCCGTTGCAAGAATTTTAGTTTTATATTGTGTTAGGCAACTGCTGATGAGTTTATTTGCCTTAGTCTTAAGGCTCTTTCATGTTTTTTGAGCCTAGTTGATATTTTTCGTCCGGTCTCTCCAATGTATTCTTTGCCCCATTCCATGCACAGCTCCAGTTTGATAGTTATGGTTGACTAATGCTCGTCTGGAAGAATGTTTATGAATGTATATACATGTACTCAATATAAACAATACACTACGACTGGAAGTATATGTAATATAAAGTAACCCACTTGACTTAAAATAGGGTCTTTTAAACACAATTTCAGTTACAACACTTTAGCTTAATTTTACTTTTAGCGGCTGGAGACGACCATAATTCTCAAATAAGTGTAATATGTTTGTAAGAAAGTAATATAAAATTTATGCAATAAAGATATGATTTTTTGTTAAATTTAGGACTTGACCATCCTATTTAAGGTTTTGATTTTTGATTTTAATTGATTTTGCTAAAGTGTAAATGTGTATTAAGGATATTTTATTTTTACTTATAATACGGAATAGTTTAAAAGTGTCCGAAAACATATTTAATATTTTAAAACCATTTACCATTTAAACTTCTTCGCCTTTCCCTCCCATGTCTAAATTTCCTAATTCCTAATAGTATTTCCATTCTGAAAAAGCTTTAGTTATTCAAAAATTGACTGACCTATAATATAATAAAACGCCAACAGCACTGCTGATTCCATAATTTACAAGTATATCAGCTAACTGTACGTGTGACGCTCTATCGAACGCCCTTTGTAAGTATAGAAAAATCACCACCGTCCAGATGGTTAGTAATTTCCTTAGAGAGCCATTGGAGGATTAGTAAAGTAAAACCAAATTGATGGATGACTCTGATATAGATCTTTTCAAATCATCTTTCTGATACTACTTTGTGATAATCTAGAGGCTTTATAATGATAGGGAACATTAGCAAATAATTGAAAGTAATTGAGTATTTAGGTTTATTCAGTTATCTTCTTCTTCTTCTAGTGCCTATCCCGTATGGATGTTGGCAATCATGTTGGTCCATACAATTTTGTTGACAGCCGACCTGAATAAATATTTTTCAGCCACGACGTTCGTCGGCCCCCCTGACCTCTTCGACCGTCTATTTTGGCCTGCCAGATTACTTGGATAAATTGATATTTCTCATTACGCATCACATGCCCAAGGTACGCCATCTTTCTCACTTTCACATTATGTATGGCTTCGAGTTGCTTTTGAATTCGCTGAATCGCGGTGTTGTTTGTGGCATGGTAGGAATTGAGGCTGCAGGCCAAGTAAGTTTTTTACAAGATTCAATCTCTGGGGCAAATACAGATTGGTTAGTAGGCGCAACTTTTTGCCGTTGATACCGGACTCCATTATTAATTGAAATAATTTGTGGTGTTGCACCTTGTCAAACGCCTTCTCGAAATCGATAAAACAGACTTGGACATCGCAGTTTACGTCCTGGTCCTCTGTATGAGGACCTGAATAGAAAACAGCGCCCCTCGCCTTCCCATTCCACTTCTAAATCCGAACTAAACCTCATGTTTTCTTTGGGCTTTCTGTATATACTAGATTGGATGATGTTAAGTAGGATTTTCAGTGCATGACTCATCAGACTTATAATTCAGTAGTCAGAGCACCTAGTAGCATTTGCTTTCTTAGGAAGGGAAATAAATGTGGAAACCAGCCAGTCTCTAAGCAATTATCCCGTTTGATATATTTTATTAAGTAGTATTGTCAATAGTTTAATTTGAGAGTCTTCCAATATCTGCCTGAACAGACGTGTTGTTGCGTCGAGTGTTATTTCCGGGCCTGAGCCAGCAGATGTATTCTCTCCCACTTTCCAATATTCTTTGTCTTGCTGAATAATTTATTTTTGCTAATAAGTACCATCGAATTAAAAAAATAAAATAGCAGAATGGCTAACCCGTTAACAGTTTCAGACTTTAAATAACGAAAACATGGAATTGCATATTAACAATTTTGAACCAAAAAGTAGTGGTTAGAAGATGAACAAATGAAATTTTTGAAAAGTTTGATAAACACCACTTTAGTCACGAGTTTCATTGTTGAACTCTAAATTTCTCTTCGTCTTCATCTCAGAATTTTATTTCAGCATAAAATTTTATTTAAAGTATTGATCGCACTTGATATTGGGGTAAAACCGTTTACTCTACAAACTCTTTGATGAAGGTATCTCCGCGTCTTGCTCCAAGTTAAGCAAAGTTAAGCTCATCTCCTAAACAACAAATTCGAACTTGCATTATAGCAAAAGCTCGACGCAATAAAAAGTTAATTGTCTTGGAACTTGTTTGTTCAGTGAAATGTCCCCGTAAATCATTTTAATCGGTTTAATGAAAGCCTGCAGAGAATGGCATTGAAACATGTAATCGTACAATAACCACATTTGATGTTTTATGAATAAGTTACATTATATATTAATTAATACCATGACCAGATATTATCTGCGATTAAACGGATCAATGCTAGAAAGAGGTCTGATACTAATTCGAAAATATAAATCACAATAATATTTTTCTGTACCGAATCCGCAACCAGATTATATCATGGTTTTGTTTAACAATTAAACAATTCTTGCTTCCAATAAGCATCACACAAAAATAGACATTAAGAAGTAAATTTTGTCGCCAACTTATATATTGTTAACATATAGCTACTACATAATATAGTGCCACTACTACGGTAAAAATTGATGCTCACCATGCGGCATTGATATTTTCGTAGAGGAGGTAATGATTTTCGGCACATGGCCTCCACATTTCAACCACTAACCCGCATTTTGGGCCATTTTCTTGAAAAACAGCGACTTCTAGACATTCAAATCGTTTTCCCGATATCTAGGTGTATTTTGAGAAAATACTACCGTATCCAAACTTATTGACGATTTGTTGGTTGTTCAATCTCACATGCGCATATTGAATGAACCTTCTCAACATTTGTTTCATAGTTTCTTCACAAGTTCCTGTAGCACAGGCATATTCAGGACCTCTATAATCTCTAGCAGTATAGTATGATTTCATAAAAAATGATAAAACAACAAACGATTTATTTAAACTATGTGTTTGATAGACTTTTTTTCAATAATTCTTTATTCAGTCGGGCACTACATATGCATTTTAACTGAATTATCTAAGAATAATATAATAGGTACGAGTTTTGTAAGAATTTAAGTAAATGTATTATTTCATTGCATAAATATTTTTTAACTTTTTAACACAAATATTATAAGAAGTCTCATTTTTCACAATGTTAGGCACTAGGTTGTATGCATTAGAGGTCGCACTTATTGAATTTTGCAATCCTTTATTTGTTCTGGAATTCCGTAACTGTATGTCAGTGTGATTTCGTAAGTTGTGCGAGTGTATTTCATTAATATAAGTTATTTTGGTGTTGCTTTTGGTTTTGTTCTGTATTATTTTAAAGATAAGTTTAGATTTTTGAAATTTTAATTTAATTTCAATCGGATTAATTTGAAGTGAATGATACAGATTTTCAGATTTTATTTTTGTATTAGTTTTATATTATCAAGGTTCGTTGTATTGCATGTAGCCAGACTGCAATAAGATATCTTATAACAGACAAGAAATACGCATTATAGATTTTATATCTTGCAATTCACTTAAAAATAGTTACATCTGCATAACGCTGCAACTAAGGGAACTATTTTGTTCTTTATAAGACTAACGTGAGAATTTTAATTTAGCTGCTCGTCAATCATAAGCCCTAAATATTTTATTTTATAAACTCTTAAAACAACAACAACATAAAATCATTTATCTTAATAGCCTTTTTTTGGTGAAATAAAATGTATTTAGTTTTTTCTTTCTTTATTTTTAATTTGTTATTTAATAGACAGTTGTAATATCCTTTTAAGTCATTGTTCGCTATATTTGCCGATACTTCTGAATTTTTTGATGTATAAACTAAGACCGTATCATCTACAAATATATAATACTGTGCTTCTAACCCAGCCAAGCGCAGACTTAAGACATACAACTTATACAAGAGGGGCCCAAGGACGGAACCCTGAGGGACCCCACAATTATTAACTATAACTCTGCTACTGCAATCCCTCATAGTTACATATTGTTTGCGGTTGGTTAAGTATGTTCTAATTAGGTTTCA